CATATTACTATAACTGAAAATACTTCAGCTTAACCTGAAATACAACTGAATGTGTGAACTCGTTGGATACAACATAACCTGAGGAAAAACGAATTTATCTTTGAGCCCCATGTAGAAAATTCTAAGTTACATCATCTAAAAATCTGGACAAGGTCAAGATGGTTCAGTATCAGGGAGACTCATTTGGCTTTCCCATAAATGCAAATTATTTCTAAATTCTATCCACTCTAACCATGTTGACAGAACCTTGCCCAGAAGAAACTTAACTCCCTTTTTATATAGTTTCAAGAAATGCATTTTTAATTTTTTATTGTTCACTTGAATACCTTTGCAGGAATTAAGGAGGCCCTACCCACAGCTTCCTGCTTCTCATTGGTACGCTCCGTTTTTACATGGCTGTGCTCATCGAAGACATTCCTTTTGTTATCTTTCTACCTAACACATCTCCTTATTAAACAGATCCTATTCTCACTAATTTAAATGTCTTTATATCCATGGTTAGCCTCACCTCTCCCCATTATTAAATATTTCAGTCACATGCAAATTTTCACTCTTATAAATAGTGCTGCTATGAATGTCTTTGTAAAAAAATATACGTAAATAAATAAATATATATATATATAATCCTTCTCTTGGATTGTTCCCTTTGGAACATCTCCAGAGAGGGATTACAAGGTCAGAGAGCATGAAGTATTTTATAGCTCTTGTTTTATATTGCCAGATTGCTTTCTAGAAAGATCCAGTCTTTGGATTGGAAGGACCTTAAAGGTCGTCTCACTTAAACTTTCCCTCCTCTGAATGCTTGAATCCCCTCTACAATTTATGATGCCACCAGCAATGTGTAAGCATTTCTATTTACCAGTAGCTCCGCCAGTGCTGGGTTTTGCCACTCTAATTTATTTTTGCTAGTTTCATAGACGTGTATAGCTATTCCTGAGAAGCTGTCTTATTTGAACTGCTGGCAAAGCTGAACACTTCTGTGTGATGAGCTACTAGCTGCTTTTCCTTGTGTGTAAACTGTCCACCTCCGTTTCTTATGACTGCTTGTTCAATGGGCCTGACCTTGTATCTTTGTATCAGAACTGTATTTTTATGTTGTATTGGAGTTTGCTCTCTCCCTATCCCTACAACTGAATGGTGCCAACAATTTGATACTAATGACTATAAAAATTGCCTCATTGACTAGCTTTGACGCAAACGAGGTATGTGAACAGGTGTTCAGATGACCAAGGGGTAGCTCCTTTAAGTACTGACTCTTTACAATTTTAATATTTTTTTGGAGGGAATTCTTTCTAAGATGAATGGCACATTTCCCTTCCTAAGTGCACAAAGTATCCTGGAGGGGTCTTCAGCTCCTTCCTCGTGACTCCTGGCTGTCAGTACACACAGCAGCCCCTTCTGTACCTTGATGATGGTACAAAAGAGGTCACCAGGAGCTATCAATATGTGTAGGACTTGGTGTGGCCTATATAGGCTATGACCCTCTTCTCACTGATGGCTCTCTATTGCCGTCTGCTCTGTCAGTGCAGCTGTCGAAAGCAAGCGTAGTTTTGGGTGGGATGGCTGTTCTCCATCACGGGCACGTGACACAAACCAGGTTCTCTATAGAACCTGGGGTTGTCACCTCCTGCAGCCTCTTCTCCTTTGCTGCTTTCTGAGGTGCGCACTCCTCCCCACCTTGCTCTCTGATGGAAACTTCCAGAACACAGTAGAAGGTTTCTGGCGAGGTCAGGACACACGTATTCCCTATATACATGGTTTGCTTTGTTTCTAAGGAGGGGTGCATGGAGGTTTTTGGCTGTTGTTCTCAGGAGACTTACAGGGTCCTGCATTGACTCCCAACTTCTCCTGGGTTCACAGGTGTCTCAGTGGGTTGACACCACTGCAAGTCTGAGCGCAGTGTGTTGGTTGTTATTGTGTATGGAGACCCAGTACCGCTGGTAGTTTACTCCAACCAGTAAAGTCCAGACGAGTGCACTGCTGCAGTGGCCATTGTCTTTTGCTACTTCAGTGTATGGTGGGTGCCTGGCATTGGGACCTGAGGCTGTGAAGTTGCCCTGAGACAACTCACAATGACTATAAGGAGCTGTGCAGCTGCTTTTACCCCTTTCTGTCTACTTAAGACCCGAACAACAGCACTGGAAGATCATAGGATACCCACTGTGGATTCAAGAGGGGACAGGAGAGTCCGCTAACATAATCATTCCAGGGCTGGGGCTCCACACTGTGGCCTCTAGATGCCTAGTTGGGAAGGTATGGTGAGTCACTGCAGAGATCTGGCAGCCCTCTATGCACAGAGTTGGTGGATTTTGGACAAGCACAGATTTTTGGGTGTGAAAAAGGAAGTCACTTAGCACTCAGAAATTCCCACCAGTATATACCTGGAATTTGATTTCCCAACGAGCACAGGGAAATTCTGATGCCATTGTTATGCTTCACCATTTCAAAGATCGCAGACCTTTAAAGTCCTTGAATAAAACTCACCATTTTGATCAGTTTGATGTGTACAGCTCAGTGTCTCCATGATGCTGGGCAAACGTCAGCATCTGACCCTGACTCAGCCTCTGCCCCTCCCCTGGCAACCGCTAACCACCTCCTGCCTGGTCTGTGGGTTTCTGCCAATGAATTTGCTTATAGAATCCTATAGTCTGTGGGCTTTTGTAATCAGCTGCTTTCGTTTAAACCATGTTCTCAAGGTTCACCTATGTTATACCATGTATCAGAGCTTCATTCTGTCTTTGTGAACCGATAATCGAGTGTCTGGAGATGCCAAGCTTTGTTTATCTATTTGCTCAATTGAATAGATATTTGGGTTGGGTTGCTCCTAATTTGTGGCTATTATGAATGACGATTTTATGAACATTCATGCACCAGCTTTTGTCTGAACATATGTTTTGGGCTCTCTTGGAATTGCCAGATCATATGGCAACTCTATGTTTAACTTTGTGAGGGGCTTCCAAGATGACAGCTTTTATATCTTATGCAATCCAAAGTGAAAAATGACATACACCAGGCAGTCAGAGACAGGCCACATCTGTTCCTGGTCGGATACTGAGTGGTAGCACTAATTTGGAGATGTTTTTTATAAGAGGGAGGGGGGGAAATGGTCATTTTGCGAAACTATTTTGATGAGAAGAGAAATAAAGGTTCTGTCTGTCTTTTTAAAATGAAAATGGAATGCCTATCCATTTAAAAGTGGCTAACAGGGGCTGGGAAATGGGCTAACGGGTTATATATTTGCTGCATGAACATGAGGTTTGGACCCTGGGCCACCTGCATAAAAGCCTGGCACATCGGCTTTGTCCATAACCCCGGTTTTGGGGCGGGGAGCAGAGAAAGGTGGATCCCAGGGATCCAGGCTCCGGAGATTGCTCAGTCAGTAAAGTGGTGGCCAGGAAAGCATGAGCACCTCAGTTCAAACCCCTGGCACCCACATAAAAAGCAGCACTTGGCAGCAAGTCTCTATAATACCAGTGCTGGGAAGACAGAAGGATCCCAAGTTCACTGGCCAGCCTTTCAGTGAAAGACACTGGCAGGATTAAATATTTAAATTCTAGTTGGACAAGCTGACCTGTCAACTATATCAGATAGTAAACAGCTGGCCTTTTGGAATTACCAAGGTCCCTTTCCTTCCAACAGCAGCTCCCATGTCTCCCAGCCACTGGGCAAAAAAAAAAAAAAAAAAGGTTGAAATGACTGATTTCTCTGTATTTCCTAATTTTGTGCAATGTCATGGCACTGGTGACATTGAGCCCTGCAAACCTTTCCCTGCAGGGTCTTGTTTAATATGCATCACATCATGGGAATTATTGATCACCAGTCATTACCCAGGCAGTCTGACTTCCAGGTCTACATTTGAAATCTGTGTCTCTGCCTCAGTAGCAATTTCCTTACTTCATACAATAATTATTGTAACAGCCATAGCTGTCCTGACACTCGTTCTGTAGACCAGGCTGGCCTCAAACTCAGAGATCCACCTGCTTCTGCTTTGCCAGTGCTGGAATTAAAGGCGAGGACCACCACTGCCTGGGTACAAAATAGATAGATAGATAGATAGATAGATAGATAGATAGATAGATAGATAGATAGACACAGACAGAGACAGACAGAGAGAGAGAGAGAGAGAGAGAGAGAGAGAGAGAGAGAGAGAGAGAGAGAGAGAGAGAGAAAACCTGAAGAATCCCTTCCACGTCACCATCCCAACAGGTTAAGTAAGTAAATGAATGCCCAGCTAAATAAATAACGCAAGTGTCAGTGGTGCGGACACACGAGAAGACATGGAGAATTTAGTGTACCACACATGGCTGATTTGCTTGACATCTGCACACCTTGCTCCTGGGGGAAAAAAGGGGGGGGATAAACCCCGTTAACCTAATTTCAAAAGCTCAGGTTTTACTCCAGCGCCCATGGCTTTTGCCGAGGCCTTAGTGACGCTTTCCTGGCTGTCTCTGACTTCTATTTGGCTGTGTAGTGGTATTTCGTGGTTTTTCATCTTCCTTCATGTTCCTGAGAAACTTAAGAGTTTAGTGGTTGTTTTCCTCGAACGAGAAGTTGCAGGAACAAGGTGTTGGTCGGGTCAGTCCTTCTAATAAGATGTGGTGGAGACTGAATGCTGGGGGGAAGGGGGAGGGTTAAAGAGCAAATCGCGCTCTGTGTGTCTGGAGTGGGGCCTAAAGAGATGCTTGCAAGCTCCCAGGTGGTTCTGGTGCTATAATAGGTCGGCGGGCCACACTGAGAACCTAGGGACCAGGAGGTCAAATCTGCAGGGGTCCTGGGCGGTGGGGAGAAAGGGAGGAGCTAAGCTGGGAAGCAGCGTCGGGGGAGGAGGAGAGGGGGCGATGCCGAGAGGACTGGGGCAAGCTGCGGGGCTGGAGCGAGGATGCGCAGAGCGAGGCAGGGAGGCGGCGGGTGCGGGGCGCTCGGCGGCTGCGCGGCGCGTGCTGGCGGCGCCTCGGTCCCGGCCCGCGCCCGCGGCGCCCCCGCTGCGGCCGGAGCGGCCTGGCTGCGGGATCTGTGCGCAGCGATGGCGGGACAGCCCCGGCAGCGCCCGGCCTGGGCTCCGCTGCTCCTGCGGTTGCTGCTGGCGGGGATCGCTGCCTGCGCTGCCAGCCCCGCGGACGACGGCGCGGGCCCCGGTGGCCGGGGACCCCGGGGGCGCGCGCGAGGGGACGCGGGCGCCGACGAGGCAGTGCCGCGCCACGACTCCTCCTACGGCACCTTCGCGGGCGAGTTCTACGACCTGCGCTACCTGTCGGAGGAGGGTGAGGCTGCCGGAGGGTGAGGGGCGACCTGGGGGACCGAGGAGTGCGGGAGGGGTCCGCAAGGATGTCGGTGCTGGCTGAGGAGCCGAGCTGATGTGCACAGCGGAGGCGAAGCTGGGGAGCCGTGTGCTCAGACCCCGCCTGCAGGAGGGAAGTCTGGAGGAGCTGTCAGCGCCCGCTCCCCTCTTTTACACGTGGGGAGACCAGGGCCGGGAGACTCGGACTCAAGTCCTGCGAAGCTGTGAACAGGAGGTGCTACGCCTGTGCTCTCCCGGTTCTCAGCGTCTGGCCTCCTCCATCCTCCCTGCCGCGGAGGAGGCGCCATCTGGCCTGGGGTACCCGAGCCCAGCGCAGCAGGCAAGAAGCAGAAAGCCCAACTTAAATTGACCCGTTGCCCAGTTACCTCCCGGTCTGTAGGTCGGTCGGTGTGTATTGACCTAAATTTTGCAGGTACTGGTGCCCCATCTTTCTGTTGCTCTCACTGCCCAGGCGCCAAAGCTGGGTCACAGCTCTCTCCTCAGTCCAACCCACGTCTGCTGCCACCACACTTATGGTCTCCTAGTGTGAGCCACCATTGTTGGGACCATCTGGGCCCAGAGACTGGGGTTTCTTAGCCAGCTTCCCTGAAGAGCTGTTTCAAAGAGTACAAAAGGCAAACCCATCCTGACAAAAGGATTGGGAACTGGTCTCTTACTTCCACGGCTTTGGGGAGAGTGATTTTTTTCCCTTTACTTTTGCAAAGAGGAGCCTAGAAGCAAGCTGGGGGTTGAAATGAGGATATCTTTTCGTGGGTGTATGTCTTAATTAGGATGAGGCTCAGCTACATGCAGCATTGAAATGTTAAAATCTTCGGTGAGGTAGAATTTTCTCTCTCATACATGGAAATCTAGAAGCCCACAATCCAGAAATGGCATGAAAAGTCCCCAATCTTCAGGGACCCCGGAGTTGGATCTTGTACTCAGGAGTAATTCTTAGCTTGAACCCTACTCATTACCTTCCCATTCCAGACGGCAAGAAAGACAACATGGGTAAGGAATGCTGACTGCCTACTTACTAAGGACTCTACTCCTATAGAAGTTCTGTCTACCGATTTTAGTTCCTTAGTCATTTGGTCACACATAGCCTTAAAGGAGTCTGGGGAGGGTAACCTTTTAGCTAGAAAAGACACACTATGTCCACTTCAAAAACATAGTTATTACATTAAGGAAGGTGGGGGAAAATGGATCGAGGAAATATATTTATTAGATGCAGATGGTTGAAACACCCCCCAACACACACACACACACACACACACACACACACACACACACACTTAGTGACCTGGAGTCTGGCTATTCAGTTGTTGGTGAGGCAGCTCTGTTCCGAGTTGTCACTCAAGGACCTATGTTCCTTCCATCTTCTTGCTCTACCGTCCTTTAAGACCTTGTCCTCATCTCTGTAGTAGAAGATTGGCGGCTTTGTTCAACACTGAGGGGAGAGTGCCGGAGGGATGGCTCAGTAGGCAGTGCACTTGCTGCACAAATGTGAGGTACCTGAGTTCAGAGAGTCAGACCCCATGTAACCTTACATGCGGTAGCTCATCTGCTCCTAGGGAGAGATGGGAAATGCATCAGTAAAATCCCTGGAAGCTTGTGGGCCAGCTAGTACGCAGCAGCAAACAATAAAAGACCCTATCTCAGGATCTCCACATGCACAATGTGGCATATGGCCATAAACGTGCATATACACACACACACACACACACACACACACACGCACGCACACACACACGCACGCACACACACGCACGCACACACGCACACACACACGCACACACGCACACACACACACACACGCACGCACGCACGCACGCACTCAGAAAAGTGAGGGAAAGGAAAAGAAAAGTAGTTTAGAATAAGTAATTATCTTTTTAGCTACTGTGTAAATCACTGATTCTCACAGTCTTTGGCGGCTACAAGTGTAATTAAGTAACAACCTAGCTGCAAGGGAGGCGGGGCAGTCCTGAGCCCTGGACAATGGGGCAAAGGATGGGGAAACAACAAGCAAAAAGACAGAACGGCTCACTCTGGGAAAGGACAAATACTCCTAAGCATATTTTTCTGAAAACATGTAGTGCATATTTATTCTGTACATAACCAGCCTATAGTCCAAAACGACTTAAAGGTGGCATGTGAACGCCTATGTTCTCATTTAACTGATGAAGAACAAGGCAGACTCTGCGTCCATTTGTAACACGGAGAGAATGAACTGTCAGTCGCATAATCTGGTTTATGAAGGCCAACATCAGGTGGACGGTAGCTACCAAGAAAAACTTCACAGTCACTCTGAGAAGTCGGCTTCCAGCTCAGAACACGAATGTTACAGACAACAGGAGAATATAAAACGTTGGATTATGGGTCACTACTCTATTCTGGGGATCCTTCAAGGGAGAAGAGCAACAAGAAATGGAGTGTTGCTTTAGCGTTAGACTTTCAGTGAAGCCTTCTGTTCCCTTCTGCTGTCAACTGGCCAGGACCAGGGGTGGTGAGTCTGGGGACAGGAGTAGCTGCCTCCCCTTTGACGGATAGGGAAAAGAGTCGTTCATGGTTGGTTATCTGCAAATGATCATACCATCGCCAGAGCATGCCAACCCCTGAGCCACTCACCACTGAATTCAAGACCAGATTTTCCTGTTGTGGGAAAGAGCTGGGTAGGAAGCAGGGAGCTGGGCAGAAGCATGGGTTAGACCATCTTTCCTCAGCCTGCATCCCTCTTGTGTCAGTGGGATGCTGTGTGTAACTATGTAGCCAATCTCTCTGTGAGTCTGGAAATTCTTTAAAGCCACCACCAATACATGGCTAATTCTTCTCTGTGTCCTTTGTGGACAAAGTCTTCCAAGAACATTTACGGGGGCATCTTTCAGACATTTATTCATTTATTTCTCTGAGTGTTCACATTCATCTTCATGTGTGTGGAGGCCATAGGACAATCTTAGGTGTTGTTGACATCATCCACCTCTATCTGTCTGTCTATCATCCATCCATCCATCCATCCATCCATCCATCTGTCAAGACAGGATCCCTCACTGGCCTGCAGCTCGTCCATCCCTAAGATCTCAGGGATCTGCCTGCCTCTGCTCCTCAGTATGAGTGAGGTTATAAACACATGTTGCCAACAAGCTCTGATATTTCCATGTGAGCTCTGGGGATCAAACGCAAGTCCTCATGCTTTGGTGGCAAGTACTTCACCAACGGCCTTGTCTCCCCAGCCTTCACTGTCTTTTAATAAGTTCCTGCTGTGTGCCTAAGGGACTTTACCTATATTAATTTTCATCTGTGCGGTGCTCCTGTGAGTTAGATGCTACTGTTTCCCCACACTTGGAGAGTTAAGGGAAATGACTCACTTTAAAAAAAATAATCTTGGCTAAACTCACACAGCTAGAAAGTAGCAGGAACTGTTGGATCTGTGGGTGGATTCTGTGGCGTAGGTGGTGCCAGGTGTCCAGCCTGCCTGAATGAAGGCCCAAATTTGCAAGCGCTAGGAATGGACTTGGACAGGAAGGAATGATGGGCTTTGAGAAGGCCCTTGAGATGCGGGGTTTCGGGGTGATAGTTAGAAGTTGCATGGTCTTTTACCCTGGTGTAGGACTTGACAACCCACCACTCTCTCTCTCTAAACATCTCTGACAATCTACCCACCCCTCTCTCAACATCTGTCCATTATATGACTGGCTGATCAGTAGATGTGACAGTTCAGGCAGCCTCAGAAGGAGGCTGCTGCTGTGGTTACCAGCTGTAAAGCTGAATCGTATGGCCAGCTGACCTGTGGTTTAAACTTCGCGGAATCAAGGGCAATAAACAGCAAAGCCGAAGCCGCTAACCACTCAGGAGAGTGCGGCAAAATGGGCTCAAGGAATCACAGGAAAAAAGACACACAGTCTACAGATTAGATCAGAAATGGAAACCACGGCATCTCAAGCAACAACTGAGGGGCCAGAGCTCCGTGACAAGGAGCTTGCTCAGCTCGTGTGTGGCTGCGGGTTCAGCCTCCAGCGCTGAAAAAAATTAAAAAATGAAACCAGAAAAATAAAAATGAGAAAGCCAACTTCATATAGGAATATCTTGACAGATTGAAATGGTAAAATAGAAAAAGTTGCTGTAATTAGTCTCTCAAGCGGAGTTACTAGGAAAATTGAGTCCATGTAAGAAGGAAGGAGGAGAATTTTTGCAATTTTTAAAAAACGCCAATGTATCCAGGCGGTGGTGGTGCACACCTTCAACCCCAGCACTTGGGAGGCAGAGGCAGGTGGCTCTCTGTGAGTTCAAGGCCAGCCTGGTCTACAAGAGCTAGTTCCAGTACAGCCAGAGCTGTTACACAGAGAAACTCTGTCTTGAAGAATCAAAAAACAAAACAAAAAAACAAAAAAACCCACAAAAACAAAAACCCAAAAACAAAAATACCCAACTCCAATGTCGTGTTATTCATTTAGGTTTTGTATATATATCCATGTCTCTGTGTGTGTGCAGATGTGTGTTTATGTGTGTGTGTGTGTACATACATGCACATGCCATGACCAGAGGTCAACCTTGGGTGTTGTTCCTCAGGAGTCACCCACCTTATGTTTTAGTTTTGCTTTGTGTGTATGTGTCTGGAGAGATTTATGTATGGAGAGGCTACAAGAAGACGGTAGGTGTTATGCCTGATCATCCCCTGCCTTGTCCCCTTGAGGATGGAGAGCTAGGAGGGTAGCCAGTAAATCCAGTGCCCCGTTGCTGGGTTACAAGCATGCACAGCCTCACTTGTCCTCTTACATGGCTGCTGGGGTTTACCTCAGGTCCTTCCTCAGGCTTGCACAGCAATTGCCTTTACTTGCTGAGCTGTCTTCCCAGCCCCACATTGTTGGTTTTTTGATGTTGTTTTGTTTGTTTTGTTTTTTTTTAAGACAAGCTTTCTCACAGGGATGTGGGACCATCCAATTAGGCTAATCTGGGTGGCCAGCAAGCTACAGGGATCTACCTGTCCCCATCTTCCCAATGCTGGGATTACAAGCATACACCATGACTCCCAGCTTTATAACATGGATGTTGGGGGTCAAACTCAGGTCCTTAGTTTACTGACTGGGCCCCTTTCCCCAGTTCCTGATTTAGGATTTTATTTTAGAAAAAAAAATAATAAAACATTGAAATGATGTAGGGAGAGATCTTAACCCCACTTCTGACGCCAGATAAAGAGGAATATTAAGCTACACAAAGTATTCAGGGAAGGGATGTCATATGATCCTTTACTAGGGAGATGTCACTTACATGAGAACCTGAGGTCAGCGCTCTGCTGGTCTCCGAGACTCCACCAGAACCCCAAGAGAGGGCATGTCTCCTTCCCCCCCCCCTCTTATCTCCCATCCCTACCATGTACCTGTGACCACACCCAAATGAGCGTGGTCAGCGGTACAGGTAGGTAAGATCTCTCCCTACAAAACGAAAAGTGGGAGAAAGGAAATAAGACAAGCAAACAAACTGATGAAAACGAGGAAACAGACATGGCTAATTATAAGAGGCAAGAGAGTCATATCTAGATGGTTCAACCCGTGTGTCTCAAGACTGAGGAGGACAGGTCAGTATACACAGACAGTATACACAGAGAGATAGAATTCAGGGAAGGCAAAGAGGTACATGCAAATGAAAAGTCTACTGATATATATATATATATACATATATATGTGTGTGTGTATGTGTATACTATATATATATACATATATATGTGTGTGTAGTTTCCATATATATATATATATATGGCAAATAACAAGTGAAGAAGTTGTGCAGTGTTGATGAGGATGTAAAATGTTACAGCTCTTTGGAAACATATCCATACAAGGCCTTCCACACAGCCGCATGGTTCACAATAGTCCCAAAGTGGGAACAACCCAAAAGCCTACCAGCTGATGAACAGATAAACAATAATGTCTGCCCATACAATGGGGATGGTATGCTGTCATAAAAAGGAATAAAGTTTTAATGCACGCTGCCTGATAATAGATGATCCTTGAAAACATTCTGCTAAATGAAAGGAACCAGACACCAAAGGCCACATCTGGGTGCGATAACAATGGAAGCAGATAAAACTGGTTAATAAGAAGTTGGTTCCAGGCTGGAGAGATGGCTCAGAGCTTGAGAACACTGCCTGGTCTTCCAGAGGTCCTGAGTTCAATTCCCAGCAACCACATGGTGGATCACAATCATCTCTAGTAAGATGTGGCGACCTCTTCTGGCCTGCAGGAATAGATTCAGAGAGAACATTGTATACATAATAAGTAAATCTAGAAGAAGAGGAAGAAGAAGAAGCAGCAGAAGCAGTTGGTTTTTCCAGTACTTGGGAAGTTGAGGCAGGAGGATTGTAAATTTGAAGTCAGACTCCACATATAAAATAGACGCAATACAGGAAGACACATGACGTTGGCCTCTGGCTTGCACATTTACAGTCCTCCAACTAAGAAGCTCTGGGCTCTGTGAAAGGCTCACTCTAAACATATCCATACTTAAAAGTGTGTGGCTCTGGAGAGGTAGCTCAGCAGTTAAGAGCATTGCCTGCTCTTCCAGAGGACCTGAGTTCGATTCCCAGCACCCACATGGTGGCTCACAACCATCTGTAACTCCAGATCTCTTCTGGCTTCCACAGGCGAGGCATTGCACAGGATACACAGACATGCATGGGGACAGAACACCTTTACTTCCCTTATGTATGTACAAAAAAAGGTTAATTTTTAAAACGAATATAGTGTGTGTGTGCATAATTGGGATGTGTGTGAGAACAGATGTGCCGTGGTACATGTGTGGAAGTCAGAGGACAGTCTAAGGGGTCAGTTTCCTCTTTCCATCTTACACGGGTTACACGGATCAAACTCAGGTTACACAAAAAGGCACCTTCAGTCATTAAGCCTCTCACCAGCGCCCTTAACATAATCCAGAGGGCAGGAAAAGGAAGATAACCCCTACTCATTTGGTGTGACAGAAAAAGATACTACCGCAGAATTTTGATCATGTACATAAACACATGTTGGCATTAGACTGGTGAGATGTCTCACCAGGTAAAGGCACCTGCTACTGAGCCTTACAACCCCAGTTTGATACCAAGAGCTGACTCCCAGAGGTTTCCCTCTGATCTCCACAGGGGCATGGTGGTGTGTGTGTGTGTGTGTGTGTGTGTGTGTGTGTGTGTGTGTGTGTGTGTTCATGCACCTCTTTAAGGCACGCTATGGCATAGTTCTAAAGTGTGTCCACAGGGCTTATGCAGCTATTACCACAGCCATACTACTTAGGATACTTTGATAACCCTGAAAAGAAACCATGTTTCCCTAGAGCCAACCCCATACAGGTGTTTCGTGTTTTCCCTTGTCTCAGCTCTCGGCAACCACGAACAGAGCCTTCTGTTTCAGTATTTGTCTATTGCACACATTTCATGTACAGAGGATGACTCACTACCTGGACCTTATCATTTTGTTATGTATCTGGACTTTTTAGGAAAGCGTTTAGAAGGTTAAAATAGCTCAGGAACCCAAAGCCCTTCCTCACCAGCAACAGTGAGCCAGAGAATGTAAAACAAAGCAAGATAACAGCTCAAAGTAGCAACAGAGCTCTACAAATGTCTGATTTTATCTATATAGAGAAAAAATTTGGACTATTAAGAAATATAAGGAATATGAATAAACAGATAAATCATGACCTTGGAAAGAATAGCCTGATGTTATGAATATGCCAGTTCTCCACCCATTCATAATTTATCTCAAATTTAAGACAACTCCAGACAGAAGTCTGGTGCAATTCTGGAAGGGGGACTTCACAGAAGGCGTCTATACTTTGTATGGAAGACTCAAATCTCACCAATTGATGAGATAGCTTTTCCTTGCTGTGTAATTAAGATATATTACAAAGTGAGATAATTAAAATAGCATCATCCTAGCTTACAAACAAACAAAAAACAAAACAGAAAATCTAGAATAGACCCAGTTTCATGAAACAACTGATGACTTGGAAAGGAGTTTGAGAAGTATTTTGAATCCCCACTGATGCAATTAAGCCAAATTAATAAGACCGGGCTTAAGAGACAGAGCAAAGCAACTTCTGGTGACTTGAGAAAGGCAGGAGAGAAATCACTTGGCAGGTCTAAGGACTGGGTCTTAAATACTCTGTAGGCAGTAGGCTCCTTCTTGAGCTTTGGGGCAGGAGCTGTCTCTTGGTGGGCTTTCTGAGAAGGGGCCAGGTTTGGAATGCGGGAGAGCGAGGCTGAAGTGGAGTTCCCAGCTAAACAGAGTTATCATGAATTACTAGAAAAAGCATGAATTGTTTCACAAATTATGTTGAGAAAAAAATTAATTCAACTTAAGTAGAGCTGAACATGATGCCACATAACTTTGATCTTAGTACTCTGAAGGTAGAAGCAGGTGGGTCTCTGAGTTCAGGTCAGGTCAGCTAATATCAGAAAGAAAGAAAGAAAGGAAGGAAGGAAGGAAGGAAGGAAGGAAGGAAGAAAGAAAGAAAGAAGAAACCCAAACAAATCAATAAGTAGAAAAATACAATCTGCTTCTTACCTCACATTAGATAATAAGTAAATTCCCAGTGGGTCAAAGCTCTCCCTGTGCTATTGATACAGTGCTGCAACATTAGTAAGTCCACAAGAGAGGAGGTCTCATGCTGATGGGGTAGGAAACTTTAAAACCCTGAAAAGCACAGGGTGGTGGTTCACACCTTTAATCTCAGCACTTGGGAGGCAGAGGCTGCTGAGCCTGGTCTACAGAGTGAGTTCCAGGACAACCAGACTTACACAGAGAAACTCTGTCTTGAAGAGAGAGAGAGACAGAGACAGAGACAGGGAGAAAGAGAGACACACACAGAGAGAAGCAAAAACCAAAAGAAGAGAAATACTTAGGTTAACCTCATCAATGTTAAATATTTGGGTCTAAAAAAGAAAAGAGCATCTTAAAAAAAAACAAATAAATAGAAAAACAAAATTGGTAGGAAGGTAGTAAGAAAAAAATAGCAACATCTGAAATCAACAATTTTACGAAATATATACAACCTTCTGTGAAAAGGCTTGAATTCCAAATAATGAAGAAAACAAAGGTTACAGAAATAGACGTCACAGAAACAGGAACCCAAGTGCTTAATACAGATATAAAGAGACATTTGTGTCTATGAGTGCTTAGGGAAAATCCAAATTAAAATAATAATGACATCACGTCGAGCTGGGGAGAAACTGGGACAGTCAATCATGTGGTGTCCAGGGGATTGCAAGCCAGCGATGTTCGGAATAGTAATCTGCTCAAACTTTGCATAGTCAGAGAGGCAGTCTGGCCGTGCTTCTCCTGGGTTACACAATAAAAATGTCCTAAATAAAACAAAAAACCCACAGGAAATGTGGGTAAAGACACGGTCATGTTTTCACAGTTGGTAAAAGCAAGCAGGGAGAGGTGTGTCATTCCCTTTTCTGTGTCTACCAGAAACCATGTAAGGGTGGGAAGATTTTATTAAGTTTATGGCTTCAACCCATCATGGGGGGGGGAGTAGATCTGGTGGGGCAGCTTGACTCATGGCATCCGGGGTGGCAGAGTCTGTTCATATCCCGGTGAACCCAGAAGTAGAGGAGGGAGGACTCTTCAAAGGCCGGTTCCTGGTGACCAGCTAGGCCTCACTGCCCTGAAGGTCCCACAGCCTCCAGAAACAGCGCCCACCAGCGGGAACCAGGTGTTCAACAACAGCCAGGAAAAGAGCCTGAGGGGACATTCAAATATAAGCCACACCAGGAGACAATTTACATGACCCAACCTGGGAGGACTTTTAGGCAAATGGGTTTCTATGCATCTTATCTCTTAGCACAAACCCAGGTGTTCCCCTAAGGGGCTCATGATGAGCAAAGCACCTAACTACTGGAAGCCCAAGGTTCTAGAGCAGTGGTTCGAAACCTTCCTGATGCTGGGACCCCCTTCATACAGTTGTGGTGACCTTCAGCCATAAAATTATTTTCACTGCTACTCTGTAACTGTAAGTTTGCTACTGTTGTGAATTCTGATGGTCTTGGGTGACCTCCGTTTGACCCCCCAAAGGGGTTGTGACCTGGGTGTCTTTTCCAGGAACCAGGGACAAAGCTCAAATTGTTTGGGTTTTTTTTTTTTGACAATTACAAAGCAATAAAACAAACAAATAAATAGAAGTAACTAGATCTAGTGGTATAATCCGGTGGTGAAATATATGCCAGTTAATTCAATCCACAAAACTCGGGGCAGAGGCCTGACATTTAAATGGAGTGTAAGCACAGCTCACAGAACACAAATTCTTATTTTGTTTTATTTTAAAACATCCAAAATGACAGAAAATCAGTGTTAGCAAAGGCTTGCCAGCATAGTGAACTAGTTCAGAACATTTGCATAAGCTCTGTCCTAAAACTTGCTTTTGTTGGCTGTTTTAGAAACCCATATTTCTTAAAAACAAACAGCAAACAAATAATGCTACCCAAGGGTTAAGTTTATAACATTTCAGTAGCCGTAATGACCTAGGTAGGGATAATGACAGCTGGTATTAATTGACCTGGAATTCTATCACAGTCAATAGTACTCCGGGAATGACTAAAGATTCTGTGATTGAAAAATGGAAGAGGAAGCTGGGTGTTCGCCCATGCACGTCTTTGATCCCAGCACTCGGGAGGCAGAGGCAGGTGGATAGGCTCCAAAGCCACAGAGAAACCCTGTCTTGAGCAAAAAGAAAAAAGAAAAAAAAAGAAAGAAAGAAAATGGAAGAGGAAATCTGGGCGTGGTGCTCAGTGATAGAGTTTTTCCAGCTTTTGTGAAGTCCCCAGTTTAATTCTACACACACACATACACACACACACATACACACACACACACACACATTGAGAGATCAAAGGAAGAAGATGCAGAACTTGAGTGAGAAGTAACATTGAAGAGACTGTCATCTTTAGAATCTTAGTGACATATGAGGAAATAGTCATTGCACCCCTGGATGAATGTTCTGGGGGGAAATAGCCTTGGAACTTCATGACAAATAATAGTAAGGGTGTTAAGTGAAGATACTTAATATAATCTGTAGCATTGATAAACTGCTCAATAAATACAAAGAAAATAAGCCTGTCCAAGGCAGGATGTGGTCAATAGTAGTGAAAATAATGTAGGTTTTGGCACAAAATAGGATAAATCTAGAAGTAAAGCATTCGACCCAGTTCTTTAGGAGTGATAAAAAAAGAGGGCTGTTGTTTGATCCAGTGCTCAGACTCTGGTAATAGAGACAGACTTGTGCCAGGAAAGCATAGCCGGGGATGTTTGTGAAAAAGTATAAAGTTAGTGTAACTAAATAAAACTGAACAAACGTACCACAAATAAAACAGACATGGTTTACACTACCTTGGTCTATCTGTGGAAGCTTGCATCTCATCAATGACTATCATTTACTCCGTGTCCAGTGCCAAACATCGTGCTGGGCAGAGAACCCAGGATGAGGCCCACGTGGCTCCTGCGTGCATGTAAAAATGGTTTCCCCTGTAAGCTGGAGGCCACTGAGGCCTTACTCTCCAGTGTTGCCTAAATGCATTATGGTGTAAGTAATCTCAAGTGGACAATGCTAGAAACTATGCCTGGGAAGGACTTAGCATTCGGGTGAGTGGCAGTTCAGAGAGATAAAATGGAAATACCTGTTCTGTGTATGAGTTGAATCGCCCTAGTGCCCAAGTTAGAAGATGGGCCTCTGTGAACTGTCTTTCTTCCAGAATGTATGCACTGTACTCACGTTGAGATCTTGTAACTCCTAGGGGAACAGTGGCAAGCAGTGGTTATGTGAAACAAGGTCCCCCACTTAAGGCACCTGGCTGCTTGCTTGAACATGAAATAAGAGCACACTCATTCCCCCGATCCCGCCTAAGGGGAAGTAAAAAGGTCCCTCAGAAAGGGGATACTCCAACTTCACTAGAGATCTTTGTTAAGTCCCCAAACATCGATAACAGTCGGTGCATTTAGGATTCTCAGTGTAAAGGCTGCTGCCGGATTTCTGTAACCACTGTTTATTTTCACTGCCCAGGCTACCCTTTTCCCACTGCTCCTCCCGTGGACCCATTTGCCAAAATCAAAGTGGAAGACTGCGGAAGGACCAAAGGGTGCTTTAGGTAGGTAGAGCCAGGAGTCTGGCCCTGAAGGCTCAGAAGTGCACTGACTTCTCAGGGGAGGGCTTAACCTTCCTGCATCGCTATGTGAGCATGTGGGTCTGTCCCCCTTCGTAACTTCAGCAAGGTTATGGAGGACCCAAATAAGAAACCCTGTGTTCAGGATTTTGTTTGTTTGTTGGCCCAGGGTCTTGCTGGCCCTGGGTTCTGGACGGTCTTCTCACCGTTCCTCCGTAATGCTGGCGGGACAAGTGTGCACCACCATTCGCGGCTGGTGTTCAGTTTGGGCACTTCCTTCTTCAAAGACACTGTCCTAGTCACCTTCTATCACTGAGATAGAGACATAAAGGTTGTTGTCACAGTCCACCGTTGGAGAGAGGCCAATGCACGGACTCAAGCAAGGCAGAAACCTGGACTCCCTGGAACTGAAGCAGAGGCCATGGAGCTGTTTCCCTGGCTTGCTCTCATGACTTGCTCGGCCTGCTTTCTTATACCACCCGGGGCTGGTTGTTAGTATTCAGGTGTCTGTCCTGTCCTGTCCCTGGGGTTCTGGCAGGATACGCCCTCAGCTGCAGCCACTAAGAGCACCACCCGTGCACATTCACTATGTTCCCTTTTAAAAGGGCCCTGCCCACCTCCCGTATCTCTGTCTCTTTCTCTCTGTTTCTCCTCTCTCTGCTTCTCTGCCTATCTCTCTGTCTCTTCCCCCACACTTTTCTCTTCTGCTGCTTCTGTCCCAGAGGCCGGTCTCCCACCTTCCTCCTCCCCCCTTTTTTTTCTAATTCCCTTTCCCCTAGTAAAAACCCCCTCCACCTGAGCTCTGCCACACAGCATCTTTCTCTCTCCCGCCGCTTTTTAAATCACAGCGCTGGTTCCACACAGAGTGAGCTGCACCCTTCCCCATCGGTTCTACCGAGACCACGATGCCCTCCCGACTTGCCTGTTGGCAGACTGACGGAGGCATTTTCTCCACGGAGGTTTCTCTTCCCAGGTGGCTGTGGCTTGTGCCAAAGTGGCAGAAATAGAACCAGGACAGGCAGGTTCTCTCTAGAGCCCAGGCTGGCCCTAAATTCGTTATGCAAACAAGCTTGACCTTGAATTTCTGGTCCTCCTTGCATGGACCTCCCGAGTTTCTGGAATCACAGGTGTACTGCCTCGTTTCTGTGGCGCTGAGGACCGAACCCATGACTTTGGTGCATACTGGGGTAAGCGTGCTACCTACTGATCTACGGTCTCAGCCCCAACGATTCCTTTTTGAATGAATAGTCATGACTTGTGGATTTTACATGATGCTAAGCATTGATTATGGTAGCTTATTAGTTTGCTGGAGTCCCTATGGTTATTGGTAGCATTTCCATCAAGACAAAGGTAGGTTCCAGATTAACGTAATGGCAGATACCTGTAATCTCCCACTCAGATGGCTGCAGCAAGAGGATGACAGGTTTCCGGCCAATTTAGTTTGGAAAAAAAAACTTTTCTCAAAGAAAAGAAGACAGATGGAGGGAGAGAGGGAAGACAGAGTGAGGAAGAAAATGAGAGGGAATGAATGAGAACTGGCTTGGTAGGAACTTCCCAAATAGCGGTTATGGTGAACATGATGTTGTAATTTTAAAAAGTGGCACACAAGAGAAAGACAGAGCTTGGGTGGGGGATTTTTTTTAATTGGGGGAAAAGTGAATGGGAAAGGGGGGAGGGGAGAAGGGAGACGAGCATCTGGGGACAGGAGCAGCGAAAAGAGGAGAGAGAGAGAGAGAGAGGTGGAGAGAGAGAGGTGGAGAGAGAGAGGTGGAGAGAGAAGGAGAGACAGAGAAGGAGGGAGGGAGAGGGGAAGGAGAGGGGAGGGGGAAGACAGGGAGGAAGAGAAAGATCAAGCAAGAGAGAGGGGAGGAGGCGGGCAGGGCCCTTTTAGAAGGGAACTCGGCGAATGTGCACAGGTTGGTGCTCTCAGTGGCTGCAGCTGAGGGCGTATCCTGCCAGAACCCCAGGGACAGACCAGTGCAGACGCCCGAATTCTAACGCCTGGTACTATAGGCGCTGATATTGTTGACTGTTCAGGGCTCAAAGGTCAAGGAGCCAAGTGTTGCCCACTACGGGGGCTTCAAGCTCTATTGGCTTACAAGTCTTTTCTTTTTTTTTAATTTCAAAAGCTTTAGAAGTTCCAATACTCCTTATCACTGAGCAGACTGGTCAGCACTGTTTAATTCTGGTGGTGACGAGACACAATGAGAAAAGAAGGGATTTTTTAGTAGCCCTAAGGGCCTGACCTTTCCGACTCCCCTGCTCTTTTTGTTTTCAATCATTTTGTTTTTTTTATTTTGAACAGTCATCTCTTCTCGTTTTATGCAACAGTCCCACCTCCCACCCGCTCCCTGCCTCCTGCTCCATCGCTTCTCTGCTCTCCTTATCCTCCCCCACCCTTCCACTGGCTGCATCCCAGTCCCAGGTGCCTTCACCGTTCATCTCTTCCCTGCTACTCGGGGTATCCCTGCTGACACACATCTACGATTTTATCCCCTCACCCGCTGCTGCCTTCACCGTACATCTCTTCCATGCTACTCGGGGTATCCCTGCTGACGCCCGCCTGTGTTAGCATGATCTCCTTGCTGGTTCACGCTTCAGCAAGCACAGGGGCGGGGCCTCATTCTTACCGACACACATTCTTACCGTGTGTGGTGACACACGTGTGGAGGTCACGAGGCAACTTGCGGGAGTCTTTTTCTCTTCTAGCTCGTTGAGGTTTCAGGGAACAAACTCAGGTCACCATGCTTGGTGGCCGTTCTTATCTACTGAGCCATCTCACCTGTTCCTCTGCAAGGGATTTGAAATTTCTGTTTTTCTGCTCGGAGGTTTTCTTTAAAAACCTTCCTATCTAGACGAAGACCTTACACTGTTATGTTTTCATGTCTGCCTTTGTGATTATATTTACTCCAAGTAAATTTTGTAAATAAATCACATACTTGTGCTCAGTGGATACTGGATGAGGTTTTCACATGATGCATCTGTACATGTGTGGCTTTTGCAATGGACCAAGAGATCAAGTTGCAGAAGTTGGGCCATCACTCCATGTCAACAATAAGGATGCACTCAACTTGAAAGATCCTACGGTATAATCAGACACACCACCAAACCGCCGCAGAAAAGCACTTTCTGGGGCTGGGCGTTGGTGCCATTGGTGGCATTGGTGGCCTTTAATCCGAGCACTCGGGAGGCAGACGCAGGTGGATCTCTGTGAGCCTTGGTCTACAAGAGCTAGTTCCAGGACAGCCTCCAAAGCCACAGAGAAACCCTGTCTCAAAAAAACAAAAAGCAAGCAAACAAACACTTCCTGGGAAGTTATCATCACACAATTGCTGTGAATTTCAGGATTTCTGTTTTTATTTCTAAACCTATGACATTTTAACTATGAAGAGTTACAAGGAGAAACAGTTGTTACACATTTTAATTAAGAAAAAAAAACAGACACATTTTTATCTTGAGAACAGACCCAGGTGAAGGCCCTTTGTAGGCACTGACTTTATTATACAACGTGGTTGAGCCCCTTCCCCTCCCTCTCTGGACTTCAGTTTACATATGAAGTGGGGCGGTTCCCATCCTTGGTCCCTCCTTTCTGAGACTCTGGGAAGCAACAATCTAGTGCGGTTAACAGCATTGCTCAGTGCCCTTGGGTTGCACAGTAGGTGCTCTCTCTTCTTAACTGAATTACACAGAAGTAACAATGTCTCTTTTTGGCACGTCCTCCAGATACGGCAAGCCGGGCTGTAACGCGGAGACCTGTGACTACTTCCTTAGCTACCGGATGATAGGGGCTGACGTGGAGTTTGAGCTGAGCGCAGACACGGACGGCTGGGTCGCCGTCGGATTCTCTTCTGACAAAAAGATGGTGAGACACAAGTCATGGCAGAAGCTTGCTTTTTCTCTTGGCTTCGGCTTTATTCTCTCTGCTTCGTTGTTCAGATTTTGGAAGCAAGTGGATTAATCAAAGAAGCGGAAGCATTGGGTTAGTCACAGCTCTCTAATAGAAAGTTTACAAAAATTCAGAGGCTCACAACTGCTTGACATCGAGTTCCAGGGGATCTGACACCCTCAGGCCTCTGTGGGCACCCGTACACAGTGCACATCATGCATGTGCCGTATAAACTCATCCAGGCACACCACACAAGTACACACATGAATAAGAATAGGTAAATCTTTCCTTTTTTTTTTAATTCAAGCAAGCTTTAGTGGGGAGATTGGTTATTAGAACACAGGGTGCCCTGTGCCACACGTCGCGGACAGCTCTGTCCACATTATGCTGCAAACTACATGTCTTGTGCTAGTGGTCATATGTCTCTTTCTCACATGCATGTGGGTTGGCTGGGGTTCGGCTTACTTACTGCCAGCTCAGCTGGGCTCGGCTGAGGTCCCCAGGCTGGGTTTGATTCCCTGTGTGTGCTTTAGTCAGTCTGGAAGGGGTGGCTACAAGGCCTGTTCCCCTTATAGCAGAGGCAGTGAAGAGCCATTGTAAGAGAGTCGGAGGGCTTTTCTCTTATGCTCACACACTCAACACAGAACACGTCTATGACCAGATAGTTCTCTCTCATGCACCGAACAAGTTTCCAATGGACACAAGCTGGGTGTCCTCTACCTCAATCGGCTCTGACACAGTCTATGTGGAGAGAGTGTCGGATGTCACAAAGTGAGGGTTTAGCTCAAGACTACTCCATTGTAGATGTCTGCTTCAAGTCCTAGGTTGTAATCTGATGAGTCATCAGAGTCTCCATGACTTCCTGTTGAGTTTTGTTAATTCACAGAACTCGGAGGCACACTTATTTTTTTGGCATTTGCCCATTGTGTTGGTCAGCTTCACATTACTACCAATAACTCATTTTTCAAAAGGCTAAAGGCAGAAGATACAGCTCTCAGCACTGGAGAACTTGCTTAGCTTAGTATGCACACAGCCCTGGATTCCTTCCCCCAAACACCGTCACCAAGGGAACAAATAAGCAAAAAACCAAACAGGTAGACAGACAGACACTCCACAGCAACAACATCAAGGTTTAGTCCCACTCTTGATTTCAGAGGTTTCCTTCCATGGTTGCTTGGCCCATTGCTTTGGACCAGTACTAAGACGGTAGGTTGTGATGGGAAGTCTATGGGAGAAGAAACCCTCTAACCTTCAGGTGGAGAGGAGCCACAGTGTCCATACCTGTTTCTAGGAGCACACCGCCAGCTACTTAACTTACTTCTGCTAGGTCCCCTCTCTGACATTTCCTGCTCTTCTCCAAAAGTGCCACAGTCTGGGAGCAAACCATTAACACAAAGGCCTTGGAGAGACATCTGAGATGCAAATTCCAGCACTTATTCATAATATTAGACGTTAGAAAAGTAAATGAACAGCCAAATGCAGAGATGCGTGGAGGAGGGAAGAGCATCCATGTCTGCTTTGGGCATGTCACCCTCCACACTCCTCTGTGTGTGTGTGTGTGTGTGTGTGTGTGTGTGTGCAGCAGCAGTAGCCATAGTAAGGAGGGTTCAGTTCCACGGTGATTAGAAAGCATCACATGGGGCTAGAGAGATGGCTCAGTGGTTAAGAGCACTGGATGCTCTTCCAGAGGACCCGGGTTCAATTCCCAGCATCCACATGGCGGCTCACAACTGTCTGTAACTCCAGTTCTAGCAGATCTGGCATCCTCACACAGACATATATGCAGTCCAAACATCAATGCACAAAAAATAAAAACAAATAAATTATTAAAAAAATAAAGAAAGCATCACTGGGGGATGGAGAGAATGTTCAGTGGTTCACAGTGCTTGCTGCTCTCCCTGGGGACTTGAATTTGGTTCCCGGAGCCCAGGTCAGGTGACCTCCTTTAACTCTAGCTCCAGGGGATCGGATGCCCCTTCTGGGTTCCATGTGTAGGTACCTGCATGCACCTGACACCACACACACACACACACACACACACACACACACACACACACACACACACACACACACACACACACACGTTATAATGATAACAGACTAGACCCCTGACACTAAGCCAGTGGCACCAGCGTCCCTGACAAACCAGCTGCCCACACTGTATATGATGAAGGACTATTTTTCCACAGACGCCTGGGAAGAAAGCCTGAAGTCCCTAACTGCTACCACCTCAGAATGTGCAGCGACTGCACAGAGGAGCCCCGGGGTTTCTCTTGTTTTCCCTGTCATGCATTCACTTTGGGTTTTTTCTTCCCGTGGTGTGGAAGCAGCTGTGGGGTCCAAAGGAGCAGCTCCTGAGATCAGCCTGCAATTCTCTCTGGCGGCCAGTGTGTGGAGCTGTGCTGGGGGGGGTGCTGCAGGCCAACCCCAGGCCCTGACCTGTCAATCAACCCAATAAAAGGGTATCCCAACAAAGGAGAAAACAGGAAAAGGAATAAGAAAACGAATGTGAGTTCAAAACCATAGTGAGACCCTGTTGGAAGGAAGGAAGGAAGGAAGGAAGGAAGGAAGGAAGGAAGGAAGGAAGGAAGGAAGGAAGGAAGGAAGGAAGGGAAGAGTGGGCTGGTTAGGGCTCAGATAACAGAGGCAGACTAGGGAGCCTTTCAAATATCAAATATCACTGTAATATCTACAAAGTAGAGGCCCCTTCTTTCCTCTCTCCTCTCTCCACTGAATCATGGATTAAATTAAAAAACAAAACTTTGACGATGTGATGTATACTGAGAGCAATGTAGATTCCCTTTTTAATAACCTTACATTTTTATGGACTGGTTTTCAATTTAGATTTAATCTTTTTAACAGCAGCTTTGCTTTCCCATCTAAATGGCATGCCTCATGGGCGCCAAGCATTGCCTCCCCCGTCATCCATAGCCCCCACGAAACAGCACAATCGGCCAGTCTTTAATGATTCTAACTTGTTCTAAAAAAAAAAAAAGCAATTAAATCCCCAGGTAAGCTATAGAGACTGTTTTACAAACTCCTCTGTCTTACCCCGTCTCTCTATCTCCATATCTTATACCAGATGCACCAACAGATAGCTTCTTTATTACAGTAGTGTACACCTAAAACGTATCATTTTTGCCTATTTTCCAGTGGATAACTCAGTGGCATCGGTCACAATCGCTGCTATGAGGCCACCGCTGTTTCCTAGTTCCAGAACACCTTCTCAAGTGACATATTTTTTTGTCTGTGTGGTGTTCTCTGCCAATGCTTCTTCTGCTGGTGATTAACTGCTTACAACTAATATTTTCTGGAAACTTCAAGGGTATATCACAGATATCATGACCTTTTAGCCCTAAATTGTTTAAGAGGTTTCTCTTAAATTTAAATCAAGGGCCTTGTCTTTCATTATGTGGTTTGCTTACATCAATTTAGAGTTTGAAACCCATAGGCTAGTATCGTCAAATATATTGCTTCCAAATGTCATTAATCAGCATGGTTCTGCCTAGAAATGTTGCATTTGGTGGTCACGTGACTTCGATCTTCACTTTGTAATAGCTTCTGGACCTTTTAAATTAATGTTAACTACTTTTTTTTCGTTTTTCTTGTTTGTTTGTTTGTTTTTCAAGACAGGGTTTCTCTGTATGGCTTCAGAGCCTGTTATGGATGTATTCTGTAGACCAGGCCGCCTGCCTCTGCCTCCCGAATGCTGGGATTAAAGGCTTGTGCCACCAATGCCCAGCTGAAGGTTTGTTTAAATGGCATTTTAAAGTAATTTTTATGATATTTCTAATTTCAGAGGCTACGGGATATATATTTTTTTGAGTGAAGTTGTGAGTGAAGGCAAACATTTAACATTTTGTCTTCTCAACTTTTTTCTCCGCTAGGGCGGTGATGATGTCATGGCCTGTGTCCATGATGACAATGGCAGAGTCCGCATACAGCACTTCTACAACGTGGGACAGTGGGCTAAGGAGGTTCAGAGAAACCCTGCCAGAGACGAAGAAGGAGTTTTTGAGAACAATCGTGTCACCTGCAGGTTTAAGCGGCCCGTCAACGTCCCCAGAGACGAAACGATCGTGGACCTGCACTTGAGTTGGTATTACCTGTTTGCTTGGGGTCCAGCCATTCAGGGTAAGCCTACGTTTTAGCCTCTGCATTGAACACCAGTCCACCACCAAGCTCACGATCATTGTCAAGCGGGGTCACGCTGCGGGTGCACGAGAGTCGCAAGCGCTCTGTACTCTGCAAGGAAAAGGAGACATGAGGCCCTTCCTCCAGAAGATTCTAAAGACACCTGACAGAGAGCACACGTGCATAGGGAGCATGTGAGACAGCATACTATGAGCGTGCATTTCATGAAGCAATCACGTGTCTGCTGTGGGAGTGCAGGTGTTTGTGTTAGCTCCTCACCCCTTCCTGCAGAGGTCTAGATAGATCACCCTCCTGTTTACAGAGAATAAGAAACTTGACTTGCTCATGGTGGACAACTCATTAATGGTAGAAATAACACCCAATTCTGAGTCTCTCAGATCTAAAGTCAGTGAACTCTTTTAACCATCATCGTTTTAAATTAGGAAGTACTGACGAGGAAAGGGTCTCTAGAGATTTCTCTAGAGCTTGACAGCAAGCATTAATCCTTACCTTATGACTATTCCCATGGTCACGAATCAAACAGAATACCCTATATTTTAGCCCATTGATCCTCAAATATTAAGGTGCATAATAATCCCCCAGCTAGCCGGACGGTGGTGGCGCACACCTTTAATCCCAGCACTTGGGAGGCAGAGGCAGGTGGATCTCTGTGAGTTCGAGGCCAGGCAGGACCAACAGCCTCCAAGACAACACAGAGAAACCCTGTCTCGTAAAAACAAACAAAAATAATCCCCCAGCTATATTGGCAAATGAAGTCTTCTGCATGTTAGAGGTGGGGCCCCCGAGATTCTGTATTTCTAACCAGTCCCCTGATGATGCTGGGCTGTGGATGATGTCACTTCCTGCGGCAAAGCTCTCCAGTAGCTTCCTATCAAAATCCAGAGGGCATGAAAGAGACCTTTCAGAGGTTGCCCAAATCCAAGTCATCTCGTGAGCCTTCTACACGGCCAATGGGCCTAGCGGCCTGACCAAGAGTGCAGGTTAAGTTTGGTTTGCAGTCCTGTGTAGAGAAGTCAGTTCTCTCAGTCTGGCTGCTAGGAATTTTACCTTCCCCCAAGTCTGCTTTTTCTTTCCCTTGAGCTGGGTGTCTGTATGTTGCTCGGGCTAGGGTTACGGGTGTTTGCCACTGCAGCCAGCCTGACACCTGTTTTTATTGTGTGTTCAGCAGCTTTTTTGTTGCCTCAGCTAACCTGCCCCCCCATTTCTCTCCATTGCTTTAGAGACTACACAATCCCCCCATTCTCCTCTTCCCCTTCTCACCCATTGCCTATTGGGAAAAAAGGAGTTGGATGCCTCCAGGTTGGTGGCACCTTCCCATTGGCTGATGTCCCGGGGTGACCCCTCTGGATCTGCAATGGTACCTTCAAGTCCTCTTAGTAGCCTGGGAAATAAATGGTATTTTAGCTTGGAGAGATGAATTCATTTCGAACGATGAGATTGGCATCTGGAAGCGTGAGCTCTTAGAACTGGTTCTGCCCCCTTGGTAACCTGTTATCTAAAATCTTTATTTCCTTATACCTAGAGTGGGGGGCAATAATAATACCTACTTCACAAGCTTATTGACTAGCGGGTGAAAATAATTACATAGAATTGCTTTGGCAAATTGAAAAATGCTGTGCAGGGGTCCCATTTCATCTGCTGGAGATATTCACTGGGAATTCTGGCGTCTCCCTGAAATTCCATTCGGCCCTAGACATGATGTGTATTAGAATTCGGTATGAGATTTACAGTGATGCCAATAATATTACAGTGATGATAATATACTAATGAAACAGTCATAACAGTACACAGTCATATTAAAATCATATAAAATGCAGTCCTTTGCACTTTCTCAAAATACCTTGCTATCCCGTGTTATTTTTGAACTGCAGGTGACTGTGGTCATTGGATTCGGAGAGAGGAACCTTGGATAATGGGGACTCTCTCTGAGATATGGAGGGTTCCATATTTATCTGGCTTTGCCTGATGGTATAAGCTCCTCCGGGTTTCTCTTCTCATTGTTTTCAGGCAAAACAGACCTATCCCTCCACCCCCACCCCCGACTCCAAGTGCTGGCCTGGGCTGCATTTGTCCCCTTTAACATCTGTGGGTCGGGGGTCCTATACCAGTCTCTTAGCGTAAACTTTGGGCTAAGGTTTGAAGGACTGGAGATTCTATTTCCCTCGAGAAAGCAGTGAGCTGGAGGCGTGTGGCATAGCCCACGCAGCCAGGCAAGGCTCAGGGAGTAAGTGTTGTTAGGTACAGAGTGAGCGGGACCCTGTGGGAGAGGGTATCTCCCTGCCTGCTGGAGACTTTGGGTAGCAGGCAGGAGCTGGGGCAGATGCTTACTGTGCTGTGTCTGGGCATGGCTTCCTGAGAGAAAGCCTGTAAAAACCCCACTCAGGGCAAACCAGGCCTGGTGACACAGGCCTGTGATTTCGTCTACTCTGGAGGCCAAGGCAGAAAGATCACAAGTCCAAGGCTTGTTTGGACTTCAGAGTGAGTTCACGGCCAGCCTGGTGAGCCTATTGAGGCCCTGTCTCAAAGAAAAAAAGGGGAAATAAAAGCAAGCTGGGCTGTAGCTCAATGGTAGACACACGCCTAGCGCATTCATGGGCCTAGGTTCAGTGTCTAGTGCCGTACACTCCGAAACCCCTAGCTGAGCTCAGGTCATCGGACTGTCCTCACTTTCCCTAACCCAGCTTTAGTATTTTTCTTCTCCCCAGGTAGATAGACTTGCCTTTACCTCATTAAGCATTTTACAACTTATTATTATTTATTTAATTTTTTTTTTAAGAATAGAAAACCTTGCTGGGCACGGTGGTGCTCACCTTTTATCTCAGCTCTCAGGAGTCAGAGGCAAGTGGATCTCTATGAGTCCAAGGCCAGCCTGGTCTACAGAATGAGTTGAGGGCAGCCAGGGCTCCACAGAAAAATCCTGTCTTAAAAAGAAAAGAAAAGAAAACTCTTGGTTCAAGCAGCTCTCTTGCCTTAGTCTTGCTGGAAGCCCCAACTGCAGATGTGCATCATAGCACGTAGTTTGAAGGAAAAAAAAAAAAGATCTACTACCGTTTCTTTTCGTCATTTTATTCTTCAGTGCTGAGGGTTAAGCCAGAGGTCCTGGGACAGAGGCAGACTCTCTGCTCCTGATGTTGTCATCAGCCCTTAGGCATTTAACACACAGGGCTTCCTCCCTTTCTCTGGTGGCCAGAGAGAGAAAAGCTCCGTCCAAGAGCTCCTTACCTTAGTCAGTCTCCTTTGCAGACTCCCCCTCCCTTCCCCCCCCCCCTCTTCTGGAAAGCTGGAAAGTCACCGATATCCTCCACGTCAATCTCTTTTGGCTAGGGAAGTCTGCCATAGTCCCTCCCCTCCCCTCCCTTCCCTTCCCCTTCCTTTCTCTCCCCTTCCCTCCCCTCCTTTCGTCTCCCCTCCCCTCCCTACTCTCCCCTCCTCTTCTCTCCCCCCCTTTCTTCTTCTCCCCACCCCTGTGGGACATTCATGTGGATGCACAGGTGTGTGATTAGAGTAAGATACTGAATGTCTTCCTTTGTTACCCTGTGCGGATTTTTGTTTGTTTTTTTGTTTTTTTAAAGTCAGGGTCTCTCTACACAGTCTTACCTATCCTGGAACTCACTATGATCCACTTACCTCTCAAATTCTGGGATAAAAGTGCCAGGCTTGCTTTATTTCTTGAGTCTCACTGAACTGGAAAGTGGCCTTTTGGGCTATGCTGGCCTGCTGGCCTGCTGCCTGCCTTGGATGTCTCAGTGCTCAGGTACAGACAGACACCTTTGCTCCCAGTGCTCAGGTTACACACACGCACACACACACACACACACACACACACACACACACACACACACACACACATACAGCCGTGCCTGGCCTTTTACATGGCTGTTGGGGAATCAAATTTAGGGTCTCATGTCCTCATGCTTGCAGAATAAGGACTCTTAGCTACTGGGCCATCTTCCCAGCCAAAGGCTGGCTAGCTCTTACTAGCTCACAGTCAGCAAAGGCTTGCGTGGGAGATTTTGCTCGGGACTAGAGTTCCTGACCCGTGTCTATGAGGTTTGGGGCTACGGAGAGATAGCTCAGTGATGGAGCGTTTGCTTAGCACACACGCACGAAGCCCTGCGTTTACTGCTCCCCCAAAGATTTGAGGAGGAGAAATTAGTAACATTTACTGTTTGTATTAAAAATATAGTTTTTTTTAAACCCCTGTTGACGATGGAAATAATGCCGCCTGAAAAGGAGGTCTAAGATATTTTATTGAATGTAGCAATTGCTTACTGAGAAGAGCTCTAATGTCCCCGGCAGCAGCCAGCATCCGAGAGAGAGATCTGCTTTCCCTTCTCCTTATATTCCTCCCCTGTCCCACTTACCCCTGTCCACGACCCCAAAGTATCTTGAGTACGTGATCTTTCCCCTACACCCTATAACTGGAGAGATTATTGGGTGGTTAAGAGCACACACTACTCTTGTGGAGGACACACGCTCGGTTCCCAGAGCTCATATCAGGTGACTCACGACAACCTGTAACTTCATCTCCAGAGGATGGATTTATTGTCTCTGCACATGCCCAGAATTAAAAATTATTTTTAAGATTAATCATCTAAAAAGTTTTAAAGGTTACACACTATTCGATATTGGGGAGTTTAAATTTATTAGAGGCAAATAGAAGTCCATACAGTCTGTGCAAATGTAAATATTAGCACTGGCAGCCACAGAACAGAGAGAACAGTAAGCTGTCCTGGTTTGGGGAGGGGACGACTGCAGATTCCTGAGACTCATCTACGGGAGTAAAGTGGACGATTATCTCTGCGTTCCCTGTCATGTGTGCTCCACAGCAGAGAGTCCTGCCAGTGACCCCAGCACCCGAGACGACTCCACGTCTTAAGCAACTGTGTGTGTGTGCGTGCGTGTGTGTGTGTGTGTGTGTGCGTGCGTGTGTGTGTGTGTGTGTGTGTGTGTGTGTGTCCGTGGAGACCTGTCTGTAGTACTTCTGCCTGTGTAACTCTGCTGTGCTGCTTTTGATGGGCCCTCCCTCTGCTTCTGTGTTGAAGGCTCCATCACCCGGCACGACATAGACTCCCCACCCGCCTCAGAGCGTGTAGTCAGCATTTACAAGTACGAAGACATCTTCATGCCGTCGGCTGCCTACCAGACCTTCTCCTCTCCGTTTTGTTTGCTTCTCATTGTCGCCCTGACCTTCTACTTGCTGATGGGAACCCCTTAGCCACAGCCGAGAGGCCAACAGACCAGATGGTGTGGAAAGCCTTCCGTATATACTTTTCCTATAATCGCCTGTATCGTTCTAGCTTCTATTGTTCAAAAACAAGTCACAATTTCACTTTTTTTAGGGGGGGTGGGGGAGAGAGAGAGCGAAAAAAAAAAAACCAACCTTTTCTCCTAGCCAAGCAGGATTGTCAAGGCAACCCTGCTTAAACATTTGCAAACGCTTCAAATGCTTCCTGTTTGAGCTATACAGTGCCTGTGCGTTCGTTAGCTTGGTAAAACTGGGAGAGTCATCATACTGGCTTGGGATTTGAACCTAGGCAAAGGCAACCTTTTGTTGGCCTGCATGCCTCACAGTCCCGGCTGACATGATCAGATAACACATAGCAAGGTAAAGAGAGAGCTAGACACGGAACGCTACCTCAGAACAGTCTTTGTTTTGAGCGGTTCTGCACAAGAGGGCTACTTTGCATGTTGCCGTGGAGGACTTTACAGGATGTCACGAGTGTATCATCAGCCTCTCCAGAGCATTTCTGTGGAGCCTAAATGCTTTTAGATCACCACACAGTGGATTGGGAGTATGGGAGAGATTATAGCGCCAAGCGAGTGGTTGTGTTTATCTAAAGTATCTTCTCAATTAGCGAGCAGTTATGAGGAAACAGTCTTACATTGCTGTGAGGAAAGATGAAAAGATAGAACTGTGAATATTCCTGAAGTTGTTAAATTGCTTTAATGATAAAAAAATAGTTGAATTCTTAGTAGTTTGAATTTGCTCTCTTCTGCCTCTGTGTTCTACCAACTAAGGTGTTCATGGGTGGCTCTGCCAGTGGTGTCTTTCAAGTTAGCATACATTAAGTATAATACGATATGCATTATGACAGACAAGTCATCTTAAGGAAAACACACACCAGCGTTTTTAAATGCTGTAGACATCAGGATCAAAACTGGGGAGGAGGGGCCCTAAGGTGAGTTCACCAAGAGCATACATTAAAAATGTTCAGTTCTGTGTTTCCTTTTTTCAAAAGAGCCAGATACTCCTTTAGTCCAAATAGCGCACGCTAGCAGCTTCTATAGGAGAGTAACTGTGGGCACTTACACTGTGGGCGCATCCACCCGTAGCATACCAGAATTCTCTGATATGTCCCCATCGCTTCCAGGCTGGCTCCAACTTTATAGTTGAGCAACACCAGACGATGGTTTCTAAACCCATCCCCGAGATTGGTGTCAGAGGTGAATGTCTGCCTGTGGGGAGAATGCTCAGACTCTTCTGAAGGGGAACCACAGAGCCACTTTGCGACACTGCCCATACCCAGTTTCAAACTCAAGGGTCAAGCTGATGGTTCCACCGGGTGACGACATCAGCCTCTTCCCTAAGCCCTCCGATCCCGGCGAAGCTTGGCTCAAGCATGGCCGGTATATACCAGCTTCTCGGCATTCGCAGTTGGCTTAGGAGCGAGGGTCGGGAGTATACAGAGACGCCCGTGTTGTAAATAAGGAGCCCAGTATTTTTATACCCTCTGTGTGCACAGTAGTTGATCTGTAAATAGCAGAGTCAATGTAGACTTCAGTTCACCGTAGGAATGAGTGGTGTTTTCCTTCCACTTATTGTTCCAAGTCAAGCAACTGTTTCATCGTCTTTCGACTTTAGTGGCCGGCTCTGTGTATTTCCGCTTGGAACTTTCAGAGTTTTCCTGGCCCTTACAGTAACATGCGAGCAGCTCTCCTAGGCTCCAGTGTCTTCTCCAGTGTCGCCGGGACAGGCAGTGGCCCCGAAGGGCCCCGAGTTCCTTCCAGCCTGCTCTCTCGCACCTGTCCAGTCTTCCCTCCTGTGGATGATGTGAGCTCGTCTGTGAGGCTCTAACTTAGTTATCTCTCCCTCCATCTTCTGGACTGTGTAGTTTTAGGTCCGACTCAGCACTCCTGTAGCCTACTGGGCTTCTTCATCATACATGTCAGAATTTACTGAAATTTCTGATTTCTTCCTTGGTTGCTAACCCCCTCCTTAGCCGTTTCTTTCTACTTGTGACTGATGCTACTTCTTAGTAAGTAATCAGCAACCTGATGGACCGAGTTACAGACCTTTTTTGAGTTTACTTGGGCCAGAGGAATCTCTTTTATATACTTTACCCTGCTAGCCTATGTTTTTTATATGTTTTTTATCCCACTCATGATCAAACCAGGTCTTCCAAAACATAAACGACAGAACCTTAGTGAAAGTGTGGTTTTTGCCTCTCAGCAGACATCAGTTGGTGGGCACTTTAAACAATAATTGCTGTCCTGAAATAAGGATCTACAGGCAAGGGATGTGTCACCACAGCTGACCGTCATCTCAGAAAAGAATCCATTGATAGACGTGTTGGAGTTAAAGCCCTATAGACCTGGGATTCATCCATTCTTACCTCATCTAAGGAACTTCTACTTTTTTTAATTTTTAGAAACACTCTTATTTGCATATCCATCCCCCCATTCCCTCACTCTCCCATCCTCCCATGCTTCCCACCACCCCCCCCAACCCACCCACCACCCACTCCCCAAGGATAGTGAGACCCTGGAACTTCTACTTGTATCTCTCTATTCATTCTCTCTCTTTCCACAGGGCCTCTCAATCCTTCTCCAGACTCCTGGCTGTGCTAGCTCAAGCGTGCACCACCAGGTCTGACAATTCGGTTTTCTTTTCTAATACAGTGTTTGTCCCGAGGGGAGAAGCCTATCAGTGCTTTTTGGTAAAATGCCCAAGTGAATGGAATGTGAGTGGCGGAAAAATGTATGTAGTGCTGTTTTAAGTGCTCCGTGTGGATTCACTCATCTGAATCCAGAGGGAGCGTCTATTAGTAGTCCAGCCTTACAGAAGGAAAAACTGAGGTCCACCGTTTGGCAAACTTACCAGTTCTGGCAAGACCTTAGAGATGCTGGTTCAGCGCGCTTTCAAGAGGGTGGAGGAAGCCCACAGGACTCCCTGCACCTCATGCAAAATCTTTAAAACTCCCACAACTAAAAGAACCTGCTATTCATATTAAAATCTGCTAGGTCAATCCCAGTACTCAGGAGGCAGAGGCAGGCGGATCTCTGAGTTCGAGGTCAGTCTAGTCTACAGAGCTAGTTCCAGGACAGCCTCCAGGACAGCCTCCAAAACAATAGAGAAACCCTGTCTCAAAAAACAAACAAAACAAAACAAAACAAAAAATCAGGTAGGTGCCTTCCTGTCCCTTAGTACTTCACAGTGACTATGAGGACTGTCTTAAGCGGTATTTGAGGACCTGGACACATTTATTTTGTACCACTTTTTTTTTCTGCTTAAAACCTTTTGACTATTTTTATCAGCTGTTTCGGTACTTTTTTCTTTTTCTTTTCTTCCCTTCTTTCCTTCCCTCCTCCTTCCCTCCCTCCCTCCCTCCCTTCTTTTCTTTCTTTTATTTTTTGCAGTAGTGATGGTCATACCCAAGGCCCTGTATACATTATCGAGGTGTTCCACCACCCACCTACACCCCCAGCTCACGCACGTTTTCAGTACTATTAATGTTTTTTATAACTAATGTGTCGATTGGACATGACTGGAGGAATGCCTTTGTCTTAGGTAACTTTAAAGCATGACTTTCTTAAACCATGGTCTGTCTTACAACACGGAACTCTCCATTGCTTAAATTGTCCCACTATGGTGAAACGTGCATTCAGACAGAATCCAGAAGCTTCATTCAGTTACTTTGGGTTGGTTTTTGTCCTCAAAGAAACCAGAAAGTTGGACAACCGAGGGCTGGCTTTCCATTGCAATACACTTACACTATTTTTACAACCCAAGCTTGCTGTCTGTATTCAGGATTCTGTCTTAAGTGATACTAGCACTGAAGTTGAATGCCAAGCTTAGCTCTGCCCCAGGATTTCTTAAATTTTCCTTGTAAAAGGGCCAGGATGTAAACATTTCTAACTCTGTTTTTCTGTCCCAGATGCTCTACTTTGCCACACACAGTTCATAAATGAAAGAGCATGGCTGTACGTTAATAAAACAACTGAAATTTGAACTCTGTATACTTTGCAGATGCCACAATGTTACATTGAACTTTCAAAAAAGCTTTTAGAAAATGAAAAACTCATTCTTAGTTTGCAGGCTGAATAAAAACAGGAAGTAGACTGGGCTGGGCTTGTAGACTCTGGTTTTCCCACAGTAGCTTTAGTCATGGGTATACTATCTATCCAGTCGGTTGTAAACCATATCGCCAGTAACGTATTATTAGCTAGTCGTAAAAATTAGTGAATACTTGGTTTAAACGTGATTCATAGTTGGTTTGCTGTTGTAAATGAATAGCACAGTGGCATCCTTACACATGTTTCCTGGAGTTGGCACTCGAGAGGCAACAGTAAGGAACCAATTTGGGTAAGTCACAACTTTGTGTGGCAGTCATGAACATGTTTCACTGTCGAGATGCTCTTTTGGTGAATATTTCTATGCTTTAGAGTAGTTTATTTCTGTATAGGGAATTTTAAAATTATCATAAGGGCATGGGGGTGTTTTATACAAGTGACACATGACACATCTATCTCATATAATGAAACAGTGTGTGAGAAACAGCATATAGACCATGTACTGAGGTGACTGGAGTTGATCTGTTGTACATCTTTACTCTCTAAACAGAACCGCTTTCTTGGTTAACAGTTGGTTATTTCCAGTGTGTTTATATGTATATATACTTGGTACATATGTGACAGATGGGGTTTATTTATACATAAACACAGACACAGACACAGACACACACACACACACACACACACACACACACACACACCCTGAGCACTAAAGGTTATTGTTAGGATTGGTTCTTTTTCTGACCTCTTATATACTTTAACACCCAGAGATTAAACATGGTATGTATTATAAGCATACTTACCCTTGAATTTTAACAATTTAGTTTGTAGAAAGGATTCTTGGATCTTTTATTAAGCCTTGCCTCCTCTATCCAACATGATATGAATTGTCAAGAACGTAAAAGCATTGTGGTTTAACTTTTCCATACCATTAAGAAGCCAAGACTCATATATAATTAAGTAACTGGCACGTTACATGGCAGCCCAGACATGTTTTCAGTTGCATACAATTTCCTTTTCATGAAAATAGCCGCTAAGGAAATTTGAGCCTAGATGTGCTGGCAATGGGAACATGTATGTAAATCTCCTAGTCTTTGGGGTGTGTTCTTAAATGTTTAAGAACACACACCAACGACCGGGTCGTATTTTCAGTTTTCTCTCAAATATTTGCTATGAGGCGAATAACCACTCAATCTGATTCTTCTGGAATGTAATCATGCTCTAAGGTCGCTGAGTGCTCAGTGGGTGTGGCATTCACCCAGGTCACTAGACTCTTCCCTGCTTCACCACCTAGAATGCCCTGACCCCTGCACCCTGAAGAGTGAACACAGCTTCTCCTCACGCCTTATTTCCACTGACACACTGACACGCTGGAACGTAATTCTGGCTCCGTTTTTTTGAGACTGTCTACAAAATACTATTTTGTTAAAACTATGCCTTTAAATAGACACGGACGGGTTATATTTGTTTTATAAAAAGTTGTGTACCTAATGTTCAACCATGATTGATTTTGAGATTATATATGTATATATATATAAATGTATATTTATAAGCCTGTCCGATGTGGATTTTTTAACTCTAAGATGTATCACACAATACTAATAAAGATACGGGTTTCTATTTATGTACAGTAACTGTAGCAACACTCCTAACTGCTACCTAAATGATTATTCTGTTCTCTGGTCATCACATGTACTTTTATCTTTAGAGGATTAAGTTATACTCGGAATATATTAATCAGGATTAAACTTTAGAAACATAAACTCTCGACATACTTTGAAGCCCTTCCTGTTGATGTCATTAAATCTAGTTTGTAATTCCTTATTGCTTTGCTCTGGTGCCCTTTGATTCCCCATTTCATTTCTCTGTGTGTCATTTAATTCTGACATGTGTCTCCATTCTCCCTGAATCGTTACAGGCCTCGGGAAAGTTGGCAACCTGTCCTGTCTGACAAATAGGAAAATGGTGTCGCTTTAGTCACCTAAGTCCTTGGAGAGAAGCAATATGAAAAACTCAGTGTGTGGAAGCTTCAGTTTGGTACCTTATCAAGCAGTGAGTGGTGATCTATAATCCCATTTCAAGTGAATCAGCTACTTCATTGAAGATACCTGGCTTAAGAACTTCGATGAGTCGGAAGGTGGTGATTCATGACTTTAGCCCCATTAGAGGCAGGTAGCAGGCGGATCTCTGTGGGGTCGAGGTTCAAGACCAGCCTTGTCTACAGAGCAAGTGACAGAACAGGCTTCAAAGCTACACAAAGAAGCTCTATCTTGAAAAGTTTGAAAAAAAGAAAGAATTTCAATGAAAGCCCTTATTGGTGACTAAACTATCACTTAATAAGTAGAGGGGCTTAGTGGGGGAAGGCACTCACTGCCAAGCCTGATTGATGACCTGAGTTTGATCCTCAGAGGCCACAGGGTAGAGGGAGAGAACCAACTTCTATAAGTTGTCCTCTGGCTTCCATACACTTGCATGTGCACACACACACTGAGTAATTAATTAAATGTGGGGTTTTTGTTATTTGGTTTTGTTTCTTTTCTTTTCTTTTTGTTTTGTTTTTGTTTTTCAAGACAGGGTTTCTCTGTGTAGCTTTGGAGCCTGTCCTGGCACTCTCTCTGTAGACCAGGCTGGCCTCCTACTCACAGAGATCCGCCTGCCTCTGCTTCCCGAGTGCTGGGATTAAAAGCGTGCACCACCACCACCCGGCTAAATGTGGCTTTAAAAGAAAAACTAAGTCGAGTCTACCGAGTCATGAGGAAGGAGGGAAATTGCAGTAGCTGAGCTGCTGATTCTGCTGGGACTGGTTTGAGAGGATGCAGAGGCTGCACTGTTAAGGAGAAGCTCTTGTGTAGTTGAAACCTAGAGCCAGGGTTTTTCCACCAGCATGAGGACAACCAGGAGTGCAGGCAAGGATGCTGAGGTTGTGTTTAGATACAAGCTGTAAAGGTTGGAGAGATAGCTCAATGGTTAAGAGCACTGGCTGCTATTCCAGAGGTACCTGGGTTCAATTCCCAGCACCCACTGTCTGTACTTCCAGTTTCAGGGAATCCGACACACAAACAGGAAAAACATCAATGCACATAAAATAGATAAAAATAAATTATTGTTAAAAAGATGTAAGCTGTGTGCTGAATGTGTTCCCTTAGTATTTCTACGCTGAAGCCATAATTTCCACCATGATAGCTACTGGGAATTCAGCGTGTGTGTGTGTGTGTGTGTGTGTGTGTGTGTGTGTGTGTGTGTGTGTGTAGGGGATGGGATCAGTATACTTATATGAAGAGACAAGAGAACCCTCACCACAACTTGATCATGCTGGTTCCTTGGTCTCAGACCTCTTAATCTTCAACTATTTGAACCCATCTAGTCTAAAGTAATTTGGGATAGCAGCCCAAACTGACAAAGACAAAAGAGATGGACCAAAATAGGCGGAGCAGACAGAAGCATCTCCATCAAAGGGGAAGGCAGTGCAAGGAGAAAGATGGACAGGATGCATGCTGGCCCCAACTGCATTTGACAAGGCTATTATGTGTGCAACAGATTTCCACAAAGTCAGTCACTTAAAACAACACGGATGTATTGCCTCACTGTTCCGGGGGCCGGAGATCTCGGTGGAATCATGACGGCAGCAGGAGATGCTTCTTCTGGAGGTGTCACAGAAGACGGACTCATGTTTTGGTTTCTCCCAGTTGTTGATAGCTGCCAGCATCCCGTAATCTGTCATTCAAGGGACACTCTGAGCTCTGGCTCTAGGGTATGTGGTATACCAACTACTTTCCTGTAGTTTTAATCTCCCTCTCTTCCTTTGGTAGACATACCTGAGATTCTATTTAGCCCCTCTCTACCATAACCTAGAAATGATCTCTTCGCCTCAAGAACCCCTTAGCTTAGTTACAATCGCCAAGTGCCTTTTGCCATAGTGGGCTACACATTCTACCAGGTTGGAGGCATTAGGGTCAGGGAGTCTCTGGAGGACTGTTCTCCATTCCTTCCTAAAACTGGAAGATTAGGAGAGCAGAGGGATGAGGCACAGTGAGCCAGCCCCTGATCACCTAAGACCTTGCAAGTTGTAGAGAGTCGCTCAGAGGCCCTTGCGTGGTGGGATGAAGAGGCTCGGAAGAGGCCAGCTTGCGTCTTTTTTTTTTGTTTGTTTGTTTGTTTTGTTTTTTCGAGACAGGGTTTCTCTGTGGCTTTGGAGACTGTCCTGGAACTTGCTCTGTAGACCAGGCTGGTCTCGAACTCACAGAGATCCGCCTGCCTCTGCCTCCCGAGTGCTGGGATTAAAGGCGTGCGCCACCAACGCCCGGCTGCCAGCTTGCGTCTTAAAGAGGTCACGCTGATGGCAGTGTGATGATCAGCGTGCATGGGATGACAGCTAGGTCACGAGACCTGCTGGAGGCTGAGGCGACCTCATCGAAGTGCCAGGATGTTTTACTCCTTCGGCTCTTTTGTGTTTTTACTCTTGGAGGGGCCCTGCCCCCCAGCTCCCAAATAAGTCACACACAGAGTCTTATTCTTATGCCCAGCCTTAGCTTGGCTTGTTTCTTGCCAGCTCTTCTTATCTTAAATTAACCTGTCTACCTTTTCCCTCTGGGCTTTTATTCTTTTCTTACTTCTGCATATCTTACTTTCCTTCTTAGTCTGTGGTTGGCTGGGTGGCTGGGTGGGTGGCTGGGTGGGTGGCTGGCTGGGTGGCTGGCTGGGTGGCTGGATGGGTGTCTGGGTGTCTGGGTGTCTGGGTGGCTGGCTGGGTGGCTGGGTGGGTGGGTGGCTGGGTGGGTGTCTGGGTATCTGGGTGTCTGGGTGGGTGTCTGGGTGTCTGGGTGGGTGTCTGGGTGGGTGTCTGGGTGTCTGGGTGGGTGTCTGGGTGGGTGTCTGGGTGGCTGAGTGGCTGGGTGTCTGGGTGTCTGGGTGGGTGGCTGGCTGGGTGTCTGGGTGTCTGGGTGTCTGGGTGGCTGAGTGTCTGGGTGTCTGGGTGTCTGGGTGTCTGGGTATCTGGGTGGCTGGGTGGCTGGCCCCTGATGTCCTCCTCTCCTTGCTCTCTCATTGCTCCCGTCTTCCTCAGTTCTCCTTCTACTTATACTCCCTGCCTGCCAGCCCCGCCCATTCTTGCTCTGGCCTCTCGATTGGCCGTTCAGCTCTTTATTAGACCATCAGGTGTTTTTAGACAGGCAAAGAATCACAACTTCACAGAGTTAAACAAATGCAGTATAAACAAAAGTCACACACCTAAAAATAATATTCTGCCACACCAGGCGTACGACTAACTGTGCAACACATAGGATTCAGAGCATCAAGACTTCATCTATAAACGAACAGTTCTGCTTAGATAACACCTATAATCTCAGCACCCAGGAGGCCAAAGCAGAAGGATCCTGAGTTCGAGGGTAGCTGAGCCGTTTGCAAGATGCTATCTAGGCAAGCAAACACATTACCCCCCCCCAGTGAACAAACTAGCAAGATAGTTTAGTCTGGGCAATTTGGAATGCGCCCACCACCTTCTGTTTTCAGTCTTACTCAGAATCACAGTGGAAGTCTGGGTATCTACGCCATGGGGTGGCCTCAGTCTTTGTGTGTTGTAAAGACACAGCCAAGGAAGGGATGGCCCAGCGGTCCAAATCCTGACCCCTAACTCCCAACAGTCATCCATTTCAGAGGAAATGTCAGTTACTCCTCTGAAACTGGGGGAGCCACCAGGAAAGGCGGTCTAAGGTTTGGTGGAGACAGATGCAGTCTGGAGGACCGTCTGAGGTTTGGTGGAGAGCGTTGCAGTCTGCAGTCACTCTGAGGACAGGATCGCCCGCCCCCTTTTTAGTCTGAGCCTTGGTGGAGGTAAGAACTCTCTAGTGACCAGCTGCTTTTCTTTTCTGATCTTCAGCTTGAACCCCAATATCTGTCTCTGGGTTTTCATTATTTTTTTAAATTTATTTATTTATTTATTTATTATGTATACAGTGTTCTGACTGCATGCATGCCTGAGTGCCAGAAGAGGGCGCCAGATCTCATTACAGATGGTTGTGAACCAGCGTGTGGTTGCTGGGAATTGAACTCAGAACCTCTGGAAGAGAAGTCAGTATTCTCAACCTCTGAGCCATCTCTCCAGCCTGGGTTTTTATTATTTGTGCTATACCTGGTCTCAGGGTCCTCCACTGTATCAAGGGTGTCTAGGAGGGCTGGTCTCCCCTGAGGGCTTTGTACTGAGTCCTCTGGTGCCACCAAAGAGAATCTAAGAAGCATGTCATTTCGGAAGAGCTACCCTAGAGCTGATGCCCCATGAGCTTGAGATTTGAGTGGCCTCGGGTCTCTTTTTCAAACTTAGTTCTCTAGGTCCTATCAACCCCATCTCAAAAGGAATAAGACATATTGTTTTCTTAAGCAAAATGTGAGTGACTATGGCCTAGGAACATGTATTCGGGTTGCCCCAAGGGACACATTCTAGCATGGAAGTGGTTACAAGAGAGATTTTATTCATTAAATAACAAAGAATGTCATAAATTAAGGCATTCACTAAATACATTAATAGGGCCACAGGTAGGTAAGCTGTATCAAAGAAGGGAAAATTCAGCTATGTACTTAGTCTCTGGTGACATTCTCAGTTTTTGGATGGGTGAACGCTAGTAGGCTACTAAAAATACATTTTATCTTAGGTTAGGCAGGAGTGGACAATGAATGGCTGGGGAGGGAACGCTAAAAATAGCCCAAGATAAGTTGGTTCTCAGTCTGCAGTTCTAACTCTCTGCAGTCAAGAAGTTCTAGTCGGAGTTTTCAGCCTTGTACACCCTCAGCCCTGGTGTGGCCTTTTCTTGCTGCGTCTCTCTGCCCTGACAACTTTAGAGTTCTGCATTTCGGTAGTTTAGCTCTGCATGCAACCAAAAGAATGCTCTAAGGCTGCGGTCCTCAACCTGTAGGTTGCAAAAACTTGGGGGTGGGGGTGGGGTTAGGATGGGGTGGGGTGTCACACATCAGATATTTACATCACGATTCGTAGCAGTAGTAAGGTTACAGTTATAAAGTAGCAATGAAATAATTTTATGGTTGGGGTCACCACGACATGAGGAACCGTATTCAAGGGTCACAGGCAGCTTGAGGAAGGTTGAGAACCACTGCGCTTAGGTTTCAGTACCGTGCAGTAAGAACAAATGGGCTGTTGGGAAAGGGTCCCACCTGTTCACTCTCTGGTTCGGTACGCGCTGAGCTCCTAATATTCTGACTGTGAATATCTCTTGCTGTGTCAGGTCCTAGATACACCGCCTTGAAACGAGCCCTCTCTCTAGGAGCTCTGTAAATCAACCAGCGACTTTTGGGAGGTGAAGGAAACCCCAGTGTCCAGGAGGCTGCGCGAACACTTCTCAGCTTACACTGCTTTGGTTTCTTTTCTGTTAGAGTTCACTCCTTCACTAGAAATCCTGACTGACGCCTGTGAGCTCTGTTGGCCATTGGAACCATTTTGAAAGGCTCAGCAAGTTTGCTTTCCATTGAGACTTGGTACAGTTCCACAGGCCCCAACACAATTCAGGCGACACCCACAGGCCTTTCATTCATTGGTTAAGAGTTTGTCATGTGACTTCATTTTCATGGGAACTTGATTTTTGTTTGCAGGCTTGAGGAGTCAGTTGGATGCGTTTTTGAACCCCTTTTGTCAGAAGGTTAGGCACGAGGGAGCCACTCACGGAGGAGGCTTCACCGTTGGGTACGATCGTCTGGTTCAGGGCTTGAGTGAAAAAGAGACACAGATTCTCTGAACTGTGTAGGAAGGCTTCATCTTCTACTCCGAATGGGACCCAGATCTGCTTTGGCTGTGCAGGGGTTAGAAATCTGGGGGGTGGGGTGACTGAGTCACTGGGTGCTCTTGTGACAGTGGACACTAGTTTCTGTGAGTTTTGAGCATCAGGGTGGCATTTTGATCCACGGTTGACTTTGACTCATGGCTCTGAACAAATGTGAAGTGTCCCCCTGTTCCCCCACCCCCCTTTTTTTTATTTAGGCATGCAGGTGACGCCTTGTTATGTAGAGAGCAGCTCAAGTCAACGAATGTGCACCCCGACAGCAAATGTGACTATAATTTGCGGTGGTGACCTCAGGAGGCTGGACAAAGCAGTTAAGCAGCTCAGCAAAACGTGAACACAACTGGAGAAACTTTTACTGGGGGAAACCCAGACACTGAGAACCAGTGGCCCAGAACCTATAAGCAAGATAGAAAGGAGTTGTTTTTCCTCCACTTAACTGACTCCTTTTACAACCATGACCTAGTTTAGCAAGGCTTCTTCACGTGAAAACTACCTCATTTACATCAGAACAGGAAGAGAAACAGAAATTTCATGCTGAAATTCACAAGGAAAATTTGTTGAAAACATTGGAAGGGGTTACTAATTCTTATGGTGGGATCCTCCCAATATCGAGTATTCAGCTAAGGAGCAAAGACCAGCGCTCCGCTGCTCTCCGTTTCCCCCTCTCTCCCTTCTGTCTCTTTCTCAGATAAACATGCTGTTTGAAGTATCTTACCAGAAGCGGGCTCGGATTCCAAAACGTTTTCCTCAGGGCAGAAGCACCTGCACCCTGCCCTGAGGGCTTACTCCCTCAGCCCCCTCACTCTCCCCTCCAATGCCCCACCACAACAGCCCTGTAGTAAGAAGTATAATTCCCATTATCCCTTGCCAGAGAGAACACTTCTGCGAGGAGCAAACAGTGGAACTTGAACACTGATATACTTAACTCCGAGGCGTTCAGATCGCTCCCACACCGACTCTCCCGCCCTGGATTAGGAACAAACGGTTAATAGGGGCTGCTGAGCATTACGGTTCTCCAAGGAGCTTTATGGAGAAGCTGAAGGTTCCCCTGTTCAGATCACTTAGCATAGAACACAAGGGCTGCAGAGCAAGGGTCCACAGCGCGAATCCTGCCTCAAGCACTTGGCAGCTGTGTGAGGCCAGGGGCTTCATTTCCCCGCGCCCCCTGGTTTCCTGTTTGCAAACAAGACAACTCAATAGGGTTGTTTCAAGGATAAAACGAGTTGCTAGGAGCCAACCTCTGAGGCTAGAGACTGTCACACTTGCAATAGCTACTTAAAATCCTGTCGTACGCACGAGCGAGGACTTTCGACTGTTTAAGAGCGTGTATTATTATATTACTCTTGCAGAGCACACGAGTTCTAGTCCCAGCGCCCAAGTCAAGTTGCTCACGACCACCTGTAACTCCAGCTGCGGGGGCCCGATCTGGCTTCTTTGGCCACCCACGCACGCTGCATACTCACGCTTAAAAATAAGTATTTATTAAATGTCCGTAAAACCAAGTCTGTGCGTCCGTGTCTTTAGAGACATTCTGCAAGCTGAAGCACAACTAGTGTCTTAACGTCTCTGGAAGTGTCTCTTTCGGGATCCCGCCTCCGGAAAAGCTGACGCCCATCAATCAAAGAAGGGAGTCTGTAGTGTGCGTCCCCCGACTTGGTTTTTCTCGCGGGCTCCCCTTCCCCGCCCCCACGAAAACTTGTCACCTAGTCCCCCGAGGGACCATTGGGGCCGGAGGGCGGAGGCGTGTGAGCTCGCACCCTCTTGGGAGTTGTAGTTTCTCTGTGAGTCCCAGCGCAGGCTCTGCCCGCGGTCCTGGGACTACAAACCCCACAAGCCCTCGCGGCACCGCCCGCCGCTCCTCTTCCTTCTCCTCCTCCGCCGTCTCGGCGTCCCGCCCCGCCCTGCCCCGCCCCGCCCCGCCCCGCCCCGCCCCTCGGTCCTGGCAGAGGCGCGATGGCCGACCGCGGCGGCGGCGGTCCTTGCGAAGCGCCGGGCCCGCGGGGCTCTCCGCGGTCGGAGCCCCGGGTCTCTCGCGCGCCGGGGCCGGGCGAGACCCCGCGCAGCGCGGCGCTGGCGCTGCGGTTCGACAAGCCCATCAAGCAGGCCTTCTACAACACGGGTGCGGTGCTGTTCGTGTGCCTGTGCTGCGGCGCGGCGGTGCTCGTCTACTTCATCCTCGAGGCCTTCCTGCGGCCGCTGCTCTGGGCCGTGCTGTGCGGCACCTTCCTGCACCCGTTCAAGAGCTCGCTCACGCGCCTGGGCCGCCGCTGGCTGCGCCGCCTGCACCGCGCGCACACGCCCATCGTGCTGGCCGCGCTGCTGCTGCCCCTCTGCTTCGCCGACTACGGCGTCGAGGCCCTGGGCGAGCAGGCGCTGCGCCGACGCCGCCTGCTGCTGCTGCTGGGCGCCGGCGGCCCGCTGCTCTACGGCCTCTACTGCCTGGGCAGCTACCTGGGCGTCCAGGTGCTGCTGGCGCACGCGGGCGCGCTCATCTGCAGCGGCCTCGACTACTTCAGCAGCCTGTGGGTGAGTCCCCGACCCCCCAAGTTCCTCTCACCCGGGCTCCGGGGGCTGACCCACTGCCCTCCTTCCCGGGGGAACGAACGCTTGGCGCGCTTCCTTCTAAGAGAATCAGGGGTGGGAGGTGGTGGTGACTTGAAGCCCAGCCCCCTTGGAGAGGGGGGAAAGGTCCTTTGGCAGGGATGTGCCTCTGAGTCACCTGGCACATCTGGCTGGCACATCTGGGTGTCAACATTCCGAGTCCCGCTTGCCTGTCTGTGTACCGTTTAAGGGAAGCAGACTTCTTAACCAGGTTAGGGGTGAGTGAGGGCTCGTGCACCCGGATTTCTCCAGCTCTCCAAAACTTAAGAGCTTTCGTTCCATGCCGGCGATGCCCCCAGAGTTCAGTTCTTTGGTTATGTATAGTTCATGCGTGACTCTGGGTGCTTTTCGATAACTGAATTTATTAGGTGTGGGCCTTTGCACATTCCCTCCGGTCTAGGTGATCAGTGGACCACTGGTCAAGCTAGAGGTAAGTTATGGTTGAATCGCCCAAGTGGAATTTCAAAGATAAATCTTAGAGATACGCTTCCTGACCCAGACTACATCGCAGGCCAATTTGTCCGCATATTTATTGGACAATGCTAAAACAAAGCGGGCATTTAATGCTTAAGAATGTTAAGAATGTTGGTCGATAAACTACCACACGGGCTAGAATGTATCTCAGGGATAAGAGAACATTCTGGAGTGCGTGAAGCCGGGCGCGCACACCCCTCTTATGCCCTGACACTATAAAGTTACAACATAGTTGCCTTTTTTTTTTGCTATGCAGGTTTCAGCTTGCCAAAGGGTGTTGGCAGAATGCTAATTGATCCCAGGACCTCTTGGTTCAAGTGTAAAGTTAATTGAGCACAGGGTTAGGGTTAGATACCCTGTCTTTGGGGTGCATAGCATTGCATAAGCACTTTGGTTGTCTGTTTGTCTGTCTGTTTGGTGCTGGGAGTTTGAACCCAGGGCTTCCTGTGTGCTACTGAGTTACACCTTCAGCTTCACCAATTAGCATTTCCCGTTGGAACAGACATACACAGAAGTGAACATTCTCACAGCCCTGGGTCACAGGTTCAGACAGCATGACCGCCTTCCAAGATAGACAGTGGACAGATGCATGGTACACTTTTTAAAAGTTGTGCTGGGGAACAAACCCAAGTGTTAGCGGGCCCTAGGCGAGACCCAGGTACTGAGCTATACTATACTGCAGCTCCATGGTTCACTCTTGAGTTAAATGCGGGGTTGGAGAGATGGCTCAGAGGCTGACTGACCATTTGCTGCTCTTTCACTTGACGGGAAATTCCTTCTCAGCATCCATGTTGGCTCACTGACAACCTCCTGTAACTTTTTATTTATTCATTTTGGAGAAAGGGTTTCATTAAAAAAAAAAAAGAGTCTTGTTTGTTAGTTTTCTGAGACAAGATTTCTCTATATAATAGTACTGGCTATCCTGAAACTCTTTGTAGACTAGGCTGGTCTGGAACTCACAGAGATCCGCCTGCCTCTGCCTCCTGAGTGCTGGGATTAAAGGCGTGCGCCACCAACGCTTAGCGTTGCATTACCACTGCCTGGCTTCCTGTATCTCATAACTCCAAAGATTCCAACATCATCCTCTTCTGGTTTCCGTAAGCACATGCACGCACTCTACTGTCTCTTATGTACACACGATACAAATAATAAAAATAAATCTTTAAAAATAGCTTTAGGGCTGGAGAGGTGGCTCAGAGGTTAAGAGCACTGACTGCTCTTCCAGAGGTCCTGAGTTCAATTCCCGGCAATCACGACCATCTACAATTCAATCTGGTGCCTTCTGCGGGTATGTGGGCAGAGCACTGTATATGTAATAAATAAATAAATCTTTTAAAAAAATATTAAAAAAATAAAAAAAGCTTTAAAAAGCGGGGTGTGGTGGTGCATGCCTATAATCCTGGCACTCGAGAGGCAGAATTCGAGACCAGTTTGGTCTACAGAGTGAGTTCCAGGACAGCCAAGGCTATATATGGAGAAACCCTGTCTCAGAAAGCAAAGCAAAACAAAATAGCTTAAAAAAAAAAAGGAGCTAAAATTATTGCCCCTTCATTGTTAAACAAGTTAGTCACATGGATTAAATTCCTCGCATAAAAGACCATTGTGTACCTATTAGAAAAGTCCTCAAGAAATTCAGACACAATTACAGATTCTGTGTTACTTCAACTGTTGGCAGGTGTCATCCATTGGACTCTAGGAAACAAGAAAGGCAGGGCCTGCCTTGTATGGCTAGTGTGCATTTTTACCTAGGGCATTTCCGCATGTCCCTTAGAGACGGGGAGGGAGGGATAGAGGGATTGAGCCCTTGGGAAGTGTGTGTGAGAGTCGGTGTTTGTATCGTTTTACTGATGATACTCTTCATGCTTGTGTTTACGTGTGTTGAATGGGGGTTGCTTTTTGTTTTTTTTTTTTTAGGGGTTCTGAGAGTTGGACTCAGGCTTTTGTATGTGCCGATAACAGGGTTTACTACTGACCAACACCCACAGCCTTTAATAGATGCAGCTGAAAGTCTCCTAACTCAGCTGGTTGGTCACAGAGAAAAAGGGAGATGAGAAGAGGTTAAAAAACCACAGCAAACCCATTACAAAAGAAATTTGTGAATGACTTGGAGGAGAGTGGTGCGTGGTGAGAGTTGCCGAGGTGGAGATGGATGCTTCCAGGCTAATCCCACTTGGAGAAAAGCAAGAGTCAGCTGAGTTTTGCCAGAGCCGTATCAGTTAGGGGGTAGGAAGTGAAGTGAGGCGTGTTAGCCTGGTTTGGGCTTAACATGTGCCTGGGGCGGGGGCCCTGCTGTGAGTTTTCCGTCTCTTAGACCACAGTGTTTGGTTTTGTGAGCCCAAGCAGGGCTGCCTGACCCAAAACAGCTTTTAGACAACTTGTAAATGTGAGCCCGCATGAGGGAGGCAGAGAGAGAAAAGTACCATGTAAGGAGACACACATTCGGTGACCTCGTGAGTCATACATCCAGGATCCAACTTTGTATGGGTACTGTGTGCTAGGCAGGCCCTGAACTAGTTTCGGACACACGTACAGTTGCATTGTTAGAGCAGTCCCGTCCAGCAGGAGGAAGAGATTGCAGACCTGAAAAGCTAGAGAGTGATCGGTTCGTACTATCGACCTGTTGCTGCGGTCGGAGCTCCCTGGTACCCTTCAGTAAGGGTGGAGAAACTTTCTTCAAGCACGTGTGTTCGAATCTTTAATTAGGAAAGGTAAACCGGCTTCATTTAAAAGGTAAAATCCAAAGGCCATCAAAATTGGTCTAGTCACAGCTCTCCCCCTGGACTCTGGTTATGTAGAAACCTGTGTCGTCTCTGTTCATCCTCCCTGCGGCGTTTTCAGTCCTGTCCCGTCTCCATTCTGTTGGTGCCTCTGTTCCTTTTCCTGCTACCGGTTTACCCCATGGTTCCTTCCTCTCTGCCCCACTTCAGGTTACTTCAGGTTACTCTCTGCCCTGGTTCCCTCCCAGCACTGTGTCCCAGTTACAGGCGAAAGGTGACTCCTTCACGGTGCCACGGGCCGTTCTGTTTCAAGTGCGTTAGGATATTGACTTAGTCATTTCAGAAGACTTAAGAAGGAGATTCATCTGACGCTCCATGCTCACTCCGTGTACCTTTTCTGGAAATGTGGGGCCGTGCAGGATAAGTCTGAGAGCCTAATAGTGCCCCCTGCTTCACCCGCATTTCTATGCTGGGAATGGCTTCGTCTCCTCTTCCCTTTCGTGTAGACCTGTTGGGGGAGGCGGGAAGGCCATTTCTAGTGTTTGCAGCAGTGGTAGGTTTGGTTTCCCCAATGGCCTGCCTCCCATTTTGGTAAAGAAGAAGGAGTAGTGTTGGAAACAGTGAGGGCTGAAGGATTCGAGTTACAAACTTTACAGTAGTAGTAGCTTGCTTTGTGACATGTGACCAAGGCCTTAACTCTGGACCGCTCAGCCCTCCCTGGCGTGCAAAATGATGCCTCAGTGTCCTTGAGGTCTTGGTTCTAGGGTCACAAAAGACCTTAGTGAATGCACCCTGGCCAGCCCTGCAGGTCTACACCATTCCACTTGCCAGCCCGCGTGAGGCTTTGTCACCGCTCACCTGGCAGCAGCCCAGAGGAAGTTCTTTCACAATTAAAGATTTGGCTGTAGGGACTCCTGACTCTAAGGACCATGTGACAAAGAGAAGTGGAAGAAAGGTTAAAGGAGAAGGAAGTACTGCGGCTCCCGTGGTGATTAGGGGAGTCTGAGAGAGACTTAGCAAAGGGGCCGGGGAGATGGCTCAGTGAGCGGGGAGAGGGTGCTTGAGAACCTGAGTTTGCAAGCCAGGTGTGGTGGTGCATGAGGATGGAGCCCGTGGAACCTGCTGGTTAGGCTAGGTGAAATGGCGATCTTAGGTTCTGTGAAAGACCTGTCTCAGAAAAAGAAAAGGGGGAAGAAGAAAGAAAAATTGGGGAAATGATTGAGGCAGACATCCCAGAGTCAGCCTTTGTCCTCACATGGGCAGATGAGCCTGCACGCACACACGCACGCACGCACACACTCGGGCACCTTAAACCCACTGAGCACTTACCGTGTTATTTAACGGGAAAGTATGCCATGTGTGGTTAATTGTGTCTCGTGAAAGGAAAATGTGATTGCCTTCCTCGGAGAGCTAAATGAATGCTGCTAAATTTTATGCGGTCTTATATAACGTCTAGCACACGGGTGCTAGACGGCGATTGGATTATGTATTTCGGAAAGGACACAGAATATTTAAGAGGATAAATGTGGTAAGTATGCCCTCAGGTCAGCTGTGGTTCAGTGACTTATGCCTGGAAGGAAAATCCCACACAAGCAGGCTCATATGCTAAGTGGAGCTGAAGTTGACTTCTGGGTCAGGGAATAAAACGCTGTTGCCAGGCATGGTGGCTCTGTAATCCTGGTGCTTGGGAAGCCAAGACAGGAGGACTGTGAATCTGAGGCCTGCGTGAGCCAC